ACGGTTACGAAACGAAAGGTGTTGATGACATTATAAAGCATTTTAATTTACCTGAGTCAAGCCAGATGTGCGCGTTTGCAACTTGAAAGTATAGCGAAAGGTAAAAGAAATACTTTGGGCAGACTTATTTACATATACAACGCGCATTATACAGTGGTTAAAATTAAATTCCAATCAAACTTTAATTAAGCTAAGAGAAGCACAAATTGCAAAATATCGAGAAAATGAATGACGAACAATTAAAATGATTTGATCAAATTAAATATTACTGTTCTAACGCTAAAGTTACTTCCCTCAACTGCACAGCTTTCAATTTGTAGGCTTGTAGCTTGCAACTACTTAATTCTATGAATTCCGTGCTCTAGAGAGACAATCCAAGAGTCGTAATTCTTCAATGATAAAAAATTCCTGCACTGAAAGCATCCTTTAAAAGTATGATCACAAATAAATACTTTAAGTCTTCATAAAGAGTAGAAAATTACACTAACATTGATTACAAAATTAAAGGCAAAAATTTGCTATCATGTCTACCCTGCAGCAATTTATCAATTAATCAGAGCTAAGGGGCGCAAGTCTTATTAAAATATTTACGAGCCATAAAAGAAATCGCGCTCAGTGTTTAATGGCTTATTGGGCTAAGTCAAGCGGAGTCGTGATATCAATTTGGGTATAATTCGCGTGACTTGTACTGTTGCATAAAGCCAAAACGAAAGAAGTTTGATTATTTAATGTGAACAGTATCCGTTACAGCATTCACTGTAATACAAATATCACGCTGTTCAATTCACTGCAGCAATATATTTTAACAGGTAATAAATAAGTGCAAGCAAGGAGACAAGATCATCAAAGGATCTAATATGCACTCCAGAGGTACAAAAACATACCTTGAAAACGTGTCAAACACACTTTACACTTTGCGAAAATCTTGAACCTCAATAATCACAAGCAGTGCGGGGTAACCACAATACACAAGCGCAGTTTGACAAATGAAAACTGGACGTTGCGAGCTTTAAGTAACTATCCACAACCGTTTGGAAATCGTGACGTCCACTAGTTTGTTTTTATAGGCTTTAAGCATACACGTAGAGTTTTTACTAGCAATCAACCGGCCGTTATATGACCCATGGGGTCATAATAACCCACACACTCTATTTCAATGGTAATACGCACAACGTGATTGCTCGATCCTCTAAAGCCCCTTAAATTTGCTAAAGAATAAATTGTCTCATTGGTATACGATGTGTAGATGTAAATGAAACCTGACATGGTGACCAGCGCCGTTAATAGTATCCATATTAATGGTGCATAATATGAGCGTGTGAGTATGCAACATTAGCATAAGAAAACACCACCATATATGCTAATTAACGATCTGAATGTATACAATTAAAATTTCAGGGGAAATTTAAGACGGGTGTTATTCCGTTGTCTGACGTACTTATGATGTTTGCATTTAAAAAATGCAAACCTCACCTGTCATGAAACGCCATTTTTGGGCAATGTAGATTAGCGTAACTTTGCGCAAAGCTGTATCCGGTTGGACATGAAGGTCCCAATTTGCGCATGCGCACTTATTAGCAATCTTCTTAGAAAAAATTAAAAACTAGTAAATAGTTATTAAAATGTGAACTAAGAGTAAATAAAATATAAATTAAAACGAATTTGCAGAAAGATTGGAAAGATAGCCACGTACATTGATGTTATTGGCAACAGTTGAAGAAATATGTTTTGTAGAGAAGAGACGGGAATAACTTTGCTAACACATAATAATTTAAGAGTAGTCATATGACTGTTCTATCCTAAAGCTTCAAGTTCAATTTAAAGAATTCTGGTGGTTGTAAAACAGTAAGTTTAAAAGGTGCCAGTGGTTGATTTACCAAGTGTATATAAGACACGAATTTTTTTATTTAAAATATCTCTTCAAACTATAAAATGGACTTTCTTTTCTAACTTAGTGTCCGCATAATTATTTTTGAACTGTGGATTTCTGTGGCATGTAAATCAAAGAATTTATGTTCAATCGTTTCCTAATTAAAATAATTCAATGTATTAAAATAATTCTTTCATTTATTCTTGACAAAACAATTTAATTGCTTTTCAGCTATTAGGCATAAGTTCAATTTTTTACAATAGAAAATAGATAAGGCAAAAGCAGGTTTTAACATATTTCTCAGCAAAAATGCGTAATTCAGCCAGTGGCGAATCCAGAGTACGTGAAAATAAATTACCGCTGCGGATTTTCGCGTATATTTACATTTCTAAACACCTTAGAGGCTAATCCATTCGTAAAATTATATTCTTTACCAATAGTGTTTTTCTGAATGTAATTTGAATTTAAAATTGAGGATCAATAATTTATTTTGACGTACATTGCATCCGCCACTGAATTCAGCAGCTACGAAAACGAAAAGTAAAAACATAAATCTACAAGCGTAATCAAATCTTAGCTGCATTTCTAAACTTTAAGTGTCTAATTGGAAGAAGATCAAATCAAAACATTGCTCATTAGATAATTTTTAGTTGTACTTCCAAATTTAAAGGGTCAAATGGCATAATTGATGTCATTGCTTATAAGCAAGAAATTTATGATATATGCCTGACAATAACATACAAGCCCTATGTAGAAAGTAGGAAAGAAGATTGCAAGTTAATGTATAAGTTTCATGTACACAAGATCCCATATAGTACTCCACAACTCTTTCAAGTGTGAATTTCCCTGCCAGATATAAACTCCTTAATGTTGAGATCAACTGACGTAAAGAAAATTTTACACAGCGATAATTGATGACAAACAAAGCCAAATACATTAGCAAAAAAATGAATTTACACCAGCTTTTTATCATTATCATAAAGTGGTCCGATTTCAGACATACTAAGATTGAAAATTAAAATATTGTCTGTCAACGCAATTTCTATGAGCGGGAACGAAGAAAGCTAAGCAACTTATAGCTAACTACATGAACATGGCGTCCAAAAGCCTGCCTTCATGTAAGAGTGTTCAACACGTTAAAACCCTCCGCTAAAAAAATAACCTCAGAAAAATGTCAATTGCCTTGAAAAGCTGCCTCAAATAAAGATTTGTTGCCAAAAACCAAATCGTGACACCTTTGCAGTCACACGAGGGAAATGAATGTAGCTACATATTTATCGTGTTTATCATGAGACAATATTTATTTCTGTTGAAATGAAGTTCACGAGTAAAATGTTCATGTCAACACGTTTTTTGAAATAAAGAAAAAATCAACGATTGCTTTGTTTCTTAGTGTTGAGACATATATAAGAACAGCTATAGCTTTTTATAAAAATTCTTGCGGCCATTATTTGCAATAGTAATTACCCGATAATTAAAGAGGAATTGATAACTCTGTTTAATTATGATATCAATATGTTGCTAGTTCTTACAATTTTACTGGTGATATAAGTTCTGAAAATTAGTATGTAGCTATATAATCATTATCCCTCCCTCCCAGAATAAAGCCATTTTCTATAACTAAATACAGCTGGGGGCGTATGGCTAAAAAAATTTATAAACAATACCAATCAAAAACATATGGAATTATATTCAGCTGCTCGTGAAAGACGTGTCTCTATGAAAATAAATTTGCCTCCCAGAAGTTATTTTTGCCTTTATCACGCGCTTATTGTGGAATTTACCTACAAATAAGCATGTAGCTACTGATTTTTAATAATTTATTGCTTGGTAATTGTATATAGCAACAGTAAAAAGACATAGGTCTTATTTGTATACGTTTTTGACAGGAGTTATGATAAGAAATTTTTGTAATAAATATGTTGGTTTACTATAGAGCCTCTTCTCAAATTTGAAGAGAACAGTTTTATATGAGCGTTATATAACCAAAGAACACTGCTTGAGGGTCAGTTGGAAGCGTTTCAAGACGTCCAATTTCACCTGCGTATGTGGACCATGTGTTTATGTTTATGAAAAAAACCTAGTCAACAACTGTTTATTTTATAAAATTTATGGTATGGTATTTTAATAAGCCAACGTCTTACCAGAACATTCGCATATGAAAAGCGGAATCACATTTTTAAGTCAATCAACATTCATCGATATAAAATTGCAACCTTTACATACACCCCCGCCCATCCTACTGCAAAGCTTAAAATGTGAACATTAATATTGCGGGAATGACATTAACAAGAATAACCATTTTCCGCTTCTGGCTATGTTTTCGAGATCACCATTTAACAATACTTGCAAGAACCGCCCATTTGAAAAATATTGGGAGGTGGGAGGCAATTAATCACGTTTTTAAAAATACAATTCAAATTCTTTGCTTTGCAAAATGTGAACCATAGAGTAAGTTTATTTTGCTGATATGAAGAAAGAAATGTCTCTTTTCTGTATTGTATACACGATCACTTTGACAAAATAAAGCGTAATGTATCTAAGGCAGGGCTCCAAGAAAAGAAGTAATGTGACACGTATATGAATTATTTGCTTGTAAGAGTACGAGTGCTCATTCACTTTGGGTCGTTTTTTATAAGAATATTTTGTCGATAATCAACAAAAACGTTCACATTCCACTGGACGTAGACACGAGACATGAAATTAAATCACATACCTTCGGTTTTAGTAAACAAAGCTTGTGTAAATTTTAATAAGCTGCTGCCACGAGCTGTAGCTAAATTACTTTTAAAGCATTATCATATTACCCGAATGAATTGCGTTTCCCATTTTAAAATAATTTTCTACAAGTATTTAAAAGGTGTCAATGGTCATGTCTACTTGAAATTTTTTCCATGGGATTTCAAATCTTAATGTGAAACAGCTGAAGATAATGTTATGTAATCTATACAAGAATGTAGTAAGTAAGACACTGTTCAGAAAAATTGATACCTATTGATGCAAACAAATGTGATATCTATAACCTAAGCTTCAATCAAAATTGTATTGCGACATTACTGTAAATTTATTAGTATTTTCAATGTTACGATAACTAATGAATTGTTTCGCCCACGTGCATTAAAACGTAAAATTTTCAATATGAACATAATAGCCCAACATAAGACTTTTAAAAAGCCATCACAATAATAAAATAGAGAAAGATTTATTAATAACGTTTCGTCTTTAACTTAAGACATCTTCAGATTATTTGAGATAAATTATATACATGAGGTTTTATAATTTATCTCAAATAATCTGAAGATGTCTTAAAGACGAAACGTTATTAATAAATCTTTCTCTATTTATTATTATGATAACTTTAAAGTCTTATGTTGAATATTTCATATTGAAAATTCGCTTTCCGCCTGGCAAATCTCTGCCACGATTTAAAAAAAAACGTAAATTCTGAGTCGCAAAACAGTACATTCTGAGACTAAGCATGCTATTAAATTTCCATGAAACTTGAGAGACTTTCAGCATAAGACCCATTAAGCTTAAATGTTGAATAGACACTGCGAAGCGATCGATGAAATTCGCAGATGACAGATGTTTTCCTTAAAATGAAAAATTTACAAACTGCAGATTTTATATCATATGATAATTTTCATTTTCATCTTCGGCAAAGCTTCATCACTTGACCCGCAAACAAAAGTCGCAAAAGTACAGCGAATGAATAACTGACTTCGGTGATAAGTCAATGTTTTTTCAGGTAACGTTGAAGGTTTCATAGTTCAGTTCCATAATAGGAGAGCAATTTCAGCGTCAATTTTGCCGCACCTTAAGAAGAATGTGGGCGATGCAGGTAGAAGCTGTTTTTTCATTAAAAACAGGGTTTGATCCAAACCAAGATAAACACTTTAAAGAATTCATGACGTCATTCATAATAATTTTTCATACAAGTGCAATGTGTCAATTTGAGGCCTAGCGATACTTGTATAACAATTTAACATTAGAAAAGGGAATCATCCATTTCATCACATAATTTGGTATTTCGAGAAGATTTTGTACACAGTAATGACGATACGATTATTTGTATAGTTTCATGTCATGAAAAAAATGTTTCCAGAATTCCCAAAAAATAAAGACTGTAGGCAAAAATAATTACTCTGTTGGACAGAAAACCAACAAATTATAATTGAAAAACATCATGCATCTAGCAGACTTGGGAGTTCATCATTTCCTGTGACTGAACCATCAATGAAATATTATCTTTCATGGAAAAGTCATTGGAATAGTCATTGAAAAATCATAGGAACGTGTAAATAGTCTCGATCTCGTTCAAATTCAGGAGTTAATGGACACAGTTATGGTGAAAATGGGGCTTTGTATGAATATCAAAACTTTTCGCAGTTTTAGATAAAAATAGAATGTGCTGACAAATTACCAAAGCATTCGGCGTTTTTATAAACTACGCAGCTATGTAATATGTTTTGTTGTTGCTAACAGATGTGTTTACACAGACCGTTTGATATTCAAATTTGTTACAATGTCTTGAAAAATGCGTGGACATTATGGCTATACAATCATCGATGTAGCCAGCTATAAAAACCTTCTTAATCTCTGTATAGAATATAACAATCGAAATATTTTGTTCATGAGTCAAATAATTTACATAAGTTTTGTTTGTGCACTAAAGAGTTTCTATATTCAAACAAAATGATAAAAATTCAACTATATTCAAATTATTTTGATGAAAAGAAAACTATTGACACTTAATTTGTACTTAAATGAAAACTATTGACGATTAATTTGTATGAGAAAAATTGAAAAATTTGTATGAGAATAATACGGTTTCAAGCGCCGTTTACTTATAAATCAAAATCTTCTTTGACGCTTCGTCAGGCTCGTTTATTGAAAATGTCTTATTTATAATCGCGACTTGTGCCAAATGTTCAAAGCCTTCATCGCACTAAAAGACATCTCAAAAACAACGTGAAAATAAAATGGCATTTAAAAAATTGCAGGAAATCAAAAGTTATAGAATAAACGCACCCCAGCAGGGTAAGAAATTGACCGTCATCGACTGAGTGAAACAGCTGTTTTCCAAATCTTTATTTTTTTAAAAAAAATTACACCCAGAATCTTTTCACATGCAAATAGAACATGGATTTGAAACGGGCAGCTTTTTCTTGGATTTACCACGACAATTAGAAAGCACAATTGTTAATTTTTAGCTAATTGCTAACACTATATGATGCGACCAGGAATGGAGTTTAAACGAATTAAACGTGATGTAGCAAGGTGCAGTTAGAACTCTCAAAAAAAAAAACATTCAAAACATAGGCAACTTTTAATACTTTTCAAATTTTCATCAACATAAACGTAGCTATAATCACATATATTGCTGCCGTATGAATGTCGTAATTGTTGTACGCATATAAATTGCATACAAACTTTATATCATTATTATTCACTAGTATTGAACTCGCGCTCGATTTGAAACACAAATATATATAACTTTTATGAGGAGAGAAAGCATTTAAATGAATCAATTGTATATATATATTTATATAGCTATGACACATGCGCAGCATGGCAAGATTGATCTATATTTTCATCGGGCTATTACACAGACTACGCCCATAAATCAGTCAATATTATTTTAAAAGGATATAGCAATGTTGCAATTTGAATATTAGTAGTTCATTAGGCGACTTCGATAGATGTAACTTTAACGCATTGAATTAGCTGCACGCTTCATTATCACGCTTCATTGAAGCAGAGTTTAAAAAGGCAATTAAAAGTAAATTTAGTGGAGTCGAGTACAAACTCTATGATATTGAGAATTTTAGTAAGAGATGAAACGAAAGAAATTAAGAGGATTGGCTTATAGATAAACTGTAAGAAATGTTGGGTTGCACCCCATACTGTGGTTGATGCTCCAATAGCACTATTTTAAGTAAGACAAAGAGTCAAAAATGCTGTTTCAACGGGATACTTTGCTGTTCACATTTAGCTCAGTTGTATTCATTTTACAAAGGCAGGTACTATGTTATCATTCAATTTGTCAAAATAAACCACTCAAGTAATCATACCCCGACATCAATAAATCTAAAACGCCCATCAAAAAGTACTGCAGAGTCCTTTCGCAGTACAAACATGCGATTGGACTAAAAGTTCTTAAAAATTACACGCAAAATACTTGGAATAAACGAACAGTTGTCGTTTGTGAGAGATTGCTACCAACCGAGCAGAGACGTTCAAGGTATAATGATTACAAGGGCACGAATTAAACACTTATGATTTGAAATGATATAAATTTTGTATGGATGGAGTTATGTCGTTATGTTCGATTATATCTCAGCATTGTTTTTCCGTGATTAGTCGTTGTACTAAATTCATGTATAAGATCATTAGAAGTTGTATTAAATTAGGTTGTACATTCCGCATAATAACTATAGAAATGAATATATCAGCGCTCGTAAAACCGCAGAAATTTTACTGAGTCACAAATCGTGCCACAATTTTTTGGGGCCGAAATCGTGACACACGTCTTTCTAATTAGCGCAAAAGATTTTTAAAACGAACTATTTGATAAGTCGATACTGTCCCTTGTCCAATTTTACATTCTAACAACCGTTAAAGTTTTCATACGCGTTAATTATAACCCTTAAAACTGCATTGTTGAATCATCTTGGCTATAATTGTGGTGTAAATCTTACCAAGATAATTTCGCTATTTCTCTTACAGATGTATTTTCTTGAATACATTAAATTAACTCAGATTTTGTATAAAGACATACCTGTTTGATGTGATGGCTTGTTCAGCATTCGGGATGTTTGTAGCAATGCTGTTCCCCCTTTGAATACAACGAAACCGTTGTGGAACGCGTATAAATAACAGACAACAGCAATAATAGCAACAATCGTTTTCAATGTGCGCAGCATAGATGATTATGAAGGCAAGAAAGAGACAATGGCTGCAATGCACGGCCCCCAAGAGTGGTTTATAGAAAAATTATTATGTGAAGGAATTTAAACTTTGAATGAAGACTGTAAAGATTGCGTACCAATCATCTGTCATGTTTGCGACCGCCAAACAACAGAAAATATGCAAAATTCCCGCAACTTAAGAAAAATTAACGCCGACTTACTTTACTCGAATACCAAACAACGAAATGCAATAAAAATTTTCGAGATGCACAATCCTTCGAACAATCCCTCACGCAATCAGTTATATACAATCGCTAATACAATCTATAATAAGCGGGACACTCATGCGGTGCACTGAAGAAGGGGTTACAAATATTCTTTTTAAAGCAGGTAGATTAAAGCGCTTGTGACCGTTAACCGCAAATTTCATTTAGCAAGATAAATAGTTATTAAAACTTGCGCGCATGGCTAATCTTAGGGTTCAATGTGCAAACTGAAGTCAGGAAATACGAAATTTGTACTTATGTACAAGATCAAAAGATTTGCAAGTAGAGTAACGTTTTCTTTTATTTCAGCAATGGAGTGAAGGACTCCATTAATATTGTTTCGATTCCCACTCGCCCCATTAGTAAATCTGGTAAAAAAGTTAACGAAGCCGAATTGTTATGATAGCTATCCACTTTAAAAACTATTCATGGCATGACTGTTGCTCGCTAACTTGCTAGCACAACAAAGCATGTTTGATAAAATCCACAAAACCTTGCAAGTGACATGGCCTACAGTACATAATTTTTAAACTGTTCTATTTTTCCATCTTTACTTGATAAACTAGCGACGTACAAAAATCGTGATGAACTAATATATAATAAATTCAAACAGCAAATACGTGAAATCGATAAGATAAAATCATTTCCGTAGTTAATTAACTACGTCGTTCGTTAATAATTAACATTTTGATAGGCCCGATGTTTCTAAAAGTATTTAACGAAAATCAAAATAATACGAATGATTTATAAAATAATTGTCATTTCCATTGGTCACCTTTCTATCCTTTTCCAAAATAAAGCAAAGCAATGGATATCCGAAGTTTTTGATAAAAGATTACATGCTATGATGGCGATGTGAGGGGATGTAAATAAACAAGCTTTGTAAAAGCAAACTTAGCTTGACGATTTAAATACAAAACTGCTTGATGCAGAATCACGTATATGGTGAGAGGTATTTGTGTTACACGTAAGAATTTGTAAATAAACTAATATTCTGTTTTTTCAAGTATACATTTGTTCTCGTATGCTTTGCACAATTACCAATTCAAATTTCTTGCATTCTTTCATACAAAGTTCAAGAACAACACATCACAAAAACATCAATAAGCTCTGGCCATTTGGAAAATATACACTCCATGTTAGGGAAAAAATCGCCTCACCGATACTGAATATTCCGTAGAAAAATGTTTCGACGAGAGTTTAGAAGCGAATACTTTTTTTGCTCTGGTCATCGTCACTAGCATTTATGTTAGATTATACAACAATATAGCTACAGAATAAAAATTATAAAATTGGTAGAAACATAGCTATAAAAAGGGTTAATTTCTTCACAAAAATGAGTTTATAAAATGAAAACGTTAATAAGTATATACGTACTCTAAAGAAAATTTAAAATTGTTTTCTAGCACAATCAACGGACACTATAATCGACTACATTAAAACAACAGAGAGGTTTTCTTTATCTCTCTACCCTTTAATTGTATATTTGGCATTTATCTTTTAATGGACTACATTTTTTGAAAGAAAACCATTATGTAGTTAAGACTCATTTTCTCTGACTTCAAGACTCATCTGTCGCGAAACCTAAAGCCCTCAATTGGTGCGTATTTTTGGTAAAAAATGACAGGGTATCATAATCGAATATCATCCAAGCAAATGGCTCGTTCATCAACTTCCAATGTTGATAAGATCTGATAATCAAAACAATTCAAGCAAAATACGGTGTGGAGCAGAAAAAACAAGTTCCAAACATACATTGTTCTAATTCCAAATCCAATTTGGTAGTATCTAATTATTGCGATACAGATGGCTGTAAATGGGCAATGCCTTATGTTTTGTTAAAGAGAAAATCTTGAATGACGGTTTACATTTAACAATAACAAACTCGTATCATTCTGTTCATCCTAATATTGACAAGTCAGTAAATTTTCTTGGTTACTTTGTGAGATAAATATACATAACGCGTAACAACTTGGAATGACAAAATTCATAAACGAGCTATTCTATGCATTTAGTGGCATGTGTTAATGCGGCAAGAACTAAATGATATATTCTATAAACAAAGATAACCCATGGTCAGTTTTGATGTTCTTGTATGTCACAGAATCTAGGTTACTATGGAAAAACCTTATTTTTGACAGATATATACATATCCATTGCAATTAATATCAAGGAGCAAACATTCGTTGTTAGTTATGTTCAAAGCTAAAATTTATCAACCTAAAAATGTATGAAGACGTTCCAAAGAGGCAAAGACGTAAGACGCATTGGGGAGTCGTAAACAAACATTTTCGAATAATGTACAGTAAATGAACCCCTATTTATAAAACAATTGCAAACATTTACGGTTTCAGTAGGTGAAGTTGCAGGGAATTGCAAAAGACCATCGGTTCGCAGGAAGACAGTATCATCTAGTGGCACCGCTTCGTCTGCAAACAAATTAGCCGAAAATTGGCCGAACAAATTAGCCGAAAATTCTATGAGAGCACATGTTTAATAGAATTGACCATTGGCCGAACAAATTAGCCGAAAATTCTATGAGAGCACATGTTTAATAGAATTGACCATTGCGTATGTATGTGGTATAAAAACATTACACCTTTTTGGTTGCCGCTGAATATCATTGACACTGGGAAAAGTAGAAATAAAGTAACTTTTAGCAACAAAAGCATATTGAAAATGGCAATCTATAAAGACAATCGAACGCAATAAAACATTTACAGCTTTAGCAAACGTTGTTTCATTTTTCTTGCGACCATTTCGAAACCACCATAAAACAAAAAAACTCGCCATCTTCTTATAGATAACTACAGCGCCTGAAAAGGACGGCATTGAGTATTAAGGAGAATTTTACAACATAACTCAGAGTGATGTTAAATATAACTGCAAAAACCTCAACTTGAGACACTCATGCTGTGCAACACAAAATATGGACGTCTCTATTACTTCATTGTCTTACTTTCAAAATAAATTGTGACAAATGACATACGTATTTAGCTAGGAGACTACCAGTAACATTCTTAAGCAACAGTTTTATAGATAACAGTCATGATCGACTAACGTAAATGACAATAACGATGTAATAAAAAAGATTATGATTCTATTTTGAGTTTCGTTATAATTTTAATGCACGAAGAAGAACAAACATCCCCAGCAGGTCACGCGTAGGTGGATCATTAAGTGAAGTGGCTCTACTGGTAAATGCCAAGCAAGTTGATTCAATTCACAGCTATTCTATAACAAGCCAACAATCAATGACACAAACTTGCTAAATGTCGGACTATCGGTAAAATATATGTCTCTTCAACATCGTTCACCGTGTTTGTCTCGAGGAAATTGTCCCCAGTAAAAGGCGAAAATACGACTAAATATTCTTGGCGAGTAATTAAAATAAATAAATACCATGACACTAATTTTTGTATGAAATAGAAGCTTTAGAAAATGACGAAACTCCAAAAAAATTTAAACCAAGTCTGTCTCAAACATTTTACCCCACAAAATTTCAATTTTTCCAGACGAAGGACGAGAATGTGCGTGCACCCTGATACTACAAAACATGAGCGTCTCACAAATAGCTTGATCTTATCTGGTAAAAAAGGACTCGCAAAGATATTGCCAAATAAACAAAATGAATTTTTGAAAAAGCGAAGAAAATGAAAGAAATATATGAAACATTTCGATAGCAGTGCCGACAAAAGAATTGATTAATAAAAGACAAAGCTCGATAAGAAAATAATACTATAGAGGTTGCCATGTGAAATATACACACAAAAATTAGTTAAGAAAAAAGGACAGATCAAATTACCTACGTCGACAATACTTGCTAATTTATTTGCCAAGTAAATGCTCACTCCCATACTACACCTCCCTTCCCCCCTGTTTCAAATATTTTCGTGATGACATTCAGACCTGTTATGTCTATTTAACAAACAATTACGTACGATCAACAGGAACACTACATGGAGAACGGACGTAGCTTCTTGCAATATTGTTTTCCAAAATGGTTCTGATTGTTCATAATCAATTTTTGCATAATGTGCAGCTGAGATAACAATTATCCTAAAGTATTAGGAGTTCGCTTTTGTATTGGCCGTAAAGGAGCATAAAAGTCGGTAATAATCTTACTAAGACGGACTCATACTAACACGGACTTCTAATTAAGATATCTATACCTACACATGTTTTTATTCCATTCATTCTTTTCAAAGTACCAAAAGTTTCCGAATTCTAGTTAAGTTTCAAAAGAACCACAAGCTACCCGCTAATCCACTTTTCTTGAGCGTTCGTTGACACTTCCTAATTTGTTCAAGAATTTCAAGAATTTACGTAATGAATAAGACAAAATAGAATTGTAGCTAATTACACAATCGTCGAAATTATTTTTATGCACAACATAATAGTAATGCTGCTTTTTCTATGAAATTTATAAGATGAGTGCTCCCATCAAATCCACATATTGTAATGTTAAATGGTATAATTGGAAACGCGCAAAGCTTCCCTTAGTTGCTTGTACGTAAAAACACATTGGAGTCACAAGTTATTGTGTGTAATGGCTTTGGACAGCCTTCATTGTTCCATTGAAAATGAACAGTCGCACATCAAAAAATGCAAAAATGAAGCTTTACAAGAGAAAGGCGACAATTCCAAACTCACACATCACAAAAAGAAACCCATAAAAATAGTACAGTTTTTACAAAGAACATACTTAACAAGTTACAACATTTAAGACGTTTCGTGCGAAGCAATTAATCGAAGACAATGCCGTTGCAAATAGTGAAACATGCCTAGACACGCAAGCACACCTGCTTGCTTGTGTTTATGCAAGGCTTGACGGTAATAATACCATAGGTTAAGTGGTTTAACGTTATAACTAGATGGGCACGCGTTGGTCTCTTTCATCTTAAGTAGCTATAAAAGCAAACTACGTTTTCATTGCTTCTATAATTTACATCTGAAGAGTACCACCACAAATTACAATGTATCCATTGAAATAGAAACATATCTTTTGAAAGGCAATTGAGTGTTGCTTTCTCGCAAGTTAGATTGTAAACTGCACTGTAAGCAAGTATTATTACACAGTATTGGAATTCAAAATAATGTAATTCCAAATGCTTTTAAAGTTTGCACTGACATCTTTCATCTTTCTTGTTATTCAGGTATTACTGCACTGAAATAACTTTTTTGCATTTTATTTTTATAAATAGATCGTAACCTATATTCGTCCACCTAACTGATAAAATAGTATGTCCGCTAAAACAATTCTTTTAACCAACTGAAAGCAATCAAACACTCTCTTAAAAAGTCATCATCGAACAGGGAAAGAGTTCATATAATACATACTTTTTCCTAATGCGAAATAATGTTTGAATAACGTTTTTTTATAACCGAGTGCAAAGCCCGACCAAAGTGAGAAGTATCATATAAGAGGAATTTGACCAACGAGGAAGATATAAAGGATGAAGATATATTTTAACAATATAGTAAAAATAAATCGGGATCTTTTTGTATACAGTGTTATTACAAGTTTGTTAAAACAATAATAGCGTACCGTTAAAGATCACGTTGAAAATAAATTGTGTTTGAATTTGCATCAAACACTTATCACAATAAAGACGATCAATCATAGAAGATATGGTATTAAGTATAAATTATCGATTACAATTATATAAAACCGCACGAGCTGAAGCTAATTCGGGACGAGTTCAAGGGAACATTACAGTGTATATTTATAAAGAGATACTTTAGATCTCTTGTGCTATAAATGCTCAAATCAGCAGGAAAGTCTGAGCGTAAAGTTCACAAAGAGAACAGTACAAAGAGCATTTTAAAGGAAAGAAATTTTATGCAAGCCAGAAAAAGACCCAAAGATGCTTACAGGTAAAGTTATAATTCATTCACAAGTAGTTCAAGCATTTTAATCAGCAAGGCCATTGGAAACAGACAAATGTCTAAGGATTGTCGGCTTTAAGAATAATTCTGAAATATGTTTAAAATGACCTTCCTTGTTAGGTAATAATGATTAATGATACGTAGTCATAAGAACACAATCCAGCTACGCAAGTACTTTTTATCGCAGCATGCATGTCGTTTTGCATGCCCCCCCAGTTCTCCGGAAATTACAAGGGTGCGTTAAAGAAGTTTGCCAGCAAGAATTTGTACAATGTAATCCAAGACGTTCGGACGAAAGAAAATCAATTTAATAATGACTTCATACATCACACAATACATATATTTGGAGCCATTGAACTATCTCGTGAATTCAGCATTTATCATCAAACAAATAGGTAAACTGAACCAACAAATTATATTGCAAATGAATTTTGATGGACTACAATTTTGATCAATTTACTCCTCAACTCAGACTATTCTCTCGATAGTTTATAGGGCGAAACTTTGCCATACGAAACTATCTTTATCGATCAAAGTATAAATTACACGTAAATTTAAGTATAGCATTACCATACATACGCAGCTATATGATAATTGACTGAGAGACAGTAGACTTTAGAAGTTGAATAATTGAAACTAAACACTGTCATACAGGAAATGTACCAAATGTAATAAATATTCCGTAGTAAAATTTAAAATAGCATGAGCAAATTGATAACAAGTTTCGAATTCGTACTACATTAAGATATACATAGCTACATGCTCAATCGTTTTTACAACCTTAGTATCACATATAACTACCCTATTATCTTTCTTGTATGCAAAATTCGTTCGTAGCAAATTTAGATGCGCAAGTTGTGTACAAAAAACTGTTAAATGTGCAATTATCGATTTTCAAAAGGAGAAGTGGAAATCTTAAATCTTTTCTCCAATCGCGAGGGCTGTGTATGCGTTAGAACATGTTTGGATTGCTACAGAAAACTCATTGTATAGTGTTGAGATAAACATTTACTTCATTTTTCCGACTGTTTTACAAAACCAGAAGTGGCATTTTCATTTAATTTCATGATTTCTAGTGGCAAGAAACCGTCCACAAGCAACCATTCATAAAATTTAACATATTGGTTTCCTCATGAAACGACGCAATATTCTGACCTACTAAACACTGACCTCTTCAGCTTAACGGAACTCTAATAATCTCGAAAATCGACACATTGTCGCTAATAAAACAAATAAAAAGCAATATCGAACCCCTGGAAGGCCAAACGGAACTTTCATGATAAAACATAGAATTTAAAACCTAAAATAGAACTGCCAATAGCTTGTGAACATATATTGGAAGGTGTTGTATAGTAAGTCCAATCATCACACATACATTCACATCTTTCGTTTGAAAATCCACAATATTGACATTTTTTACCATCAAATGCAACTATCGGTATTTCGTATACGACAATTACGCCGCGTATATTGACAGAAAGGTCACCAGTTAGCATTTTATTCGAAGTATGGTAAAGTAAAATGTAAAAAATAATAATAACAATTATATAAGTATGTATTTACGTGTCGTATTATGCACGAAACATTTCAATCACACTTTACAACAAAATCATTAAAATGCCAATGTCGTGAAGTCATCAATCCGGACAAAACCTAAATATGTACGGATCTGGGATGCATGTTCTTCCAAATTTAAAGCGGTTAAACTTAAAAACTTAAGATATACAAAATAAAAGCATAGCGTGAATATAGAACATATTATCGTACGAAATGATATTGCATTTACGCTGTAAATAATTAGTTAGTTCTTTTAATTAAACAATTTATAAGTGATTTCTTCTAAAATTGCGCCTTCACGTTTGGAGAACAGCAAAGCAAAATCTGCCTGGACATGTATCGCGTGCGACGCGCTTCTAAAACAATCATAACAATGGCGTCATTGTTGAAATGCATCGTGCGTTAAATCGCATTTCCCATCACAAAGTTGTAAAGAGAATGCAAAACAAAGACATCAATTAGTTGTCAGGCTATTTTTACAGCTTACTCGCATTATTGTCATGAACGATAATTCAAGATGAAACAGAACGATATGATGTAGCAATCCTATTCATTAAAGGATAACGACACTACATCAACAATGCCGAGTAAAACAGTGGAATAAATCCACAAAATGACTTAGTTATGGCAACCAACGTAAATACTTGAAAAGCACATATATTTTTTATGATGAATAACAACTATTATCTAGACAGATGTAAAAAGTGTAATTGGCAGTTTAAATTTTAATACTTTAAAAATTTCAACAGAGTTTTAGCTGTTCTTTTTAGAAGTATCGGGGTTCTGTAATCATGCCTTACGGCAAACACGCTCTTCCCATTTAAACAGATCTAGTAAAGCGGCCTCATTAAATCAGAATACTGTCTTTATTAAATCAAATGACATCCTTAACTAGACATTACAGATGCCTTATACAACTATTGATACATGTTTGTACATTTACTTTACAACTATTGATGTCAAAATTTAATCATGCATTGATGCTCACTATCTTTATCCCCGACTGACGAGCATGAATGTAAAACTGGAAGCAGGGAACTGAATGAGCATGTTTACAAAACGCTTGGGCATCATACCACATCCGACTAAACATCGCCCTCAAACGAACACCGCTCGAATTAAATGCTGCAATCTTTATGGCCCTGTATTTATTTAGGGAACACTGAATGATGAAAGTAATTGATTTAAGAAATGTAATCTTGCCAGTTATTGGATCTATGTCTTATAATGATCTCATGACAAAGACTCCTTAAAAATGGTACCAACTTGTTCTAAATTACGATCACTACTTCTAACTTTACACCAACAATCACTATGGCATCAAAATCACTGTCATTAATTCTAACTTTACCAATAATCACTATGGCATCAAAATCACTGTCATTACTTCTAACTTTACCAACAACACTATAGCATCAAGCATTGCTGTCATTACTTCTAACTCCATACCAACTATCACTATGGCATCAAAATCACTGTCATTACTTCTAACTCCATCCCAATAATCACTATGGAATCAAAATCACTGTCATTACTTCTAACTTTATACCAACAATCACTATGGCATCAAAATCACTGTCATTACTTCTAACTTTATACCAACTATCACTATGGCATCAAAATCACTGTCATTACTTCTAACTCCATACCAACTATCACTATGGCATCAAAATCACTGTCATTACTTCTAACTTTATACCAACAATCACTATGGAATCAAAATCACTGTCATTACTTCTAACTTTACCAACAATCACTATGGAATCAAAATCACTGTCATTACTTCTAACTTCATCCCAATAATCACTATGGAATCAAAATCACTGTCATTACTTCTAACTTTATACCAACAATCACTATGGCATCAAAATCACTGTCATTACTTCTAACTTTATACCAACAATCACTATGGAATCAAAATCACTGTCATTACTTCTAACTTTATACCAATAATCACTATGGAATCAAAATCACTGTCATTACTTCTAACTTCATCCCAATAATCACTATGGAATCAAAATCACTGTCATTACTTCTAACTTTATACCAACAATCACTATGGCATCAAAATCACTGTCATTACTTCTAACTTTACCAACTATCACTATGGCATCAAATCACTGTCATTACTTCTAACTTCATCCCAATAATCACTATGGAATCAAAATCACTGTCATTACTTCTAACTTTATACAAACAATCACTATGGCATCAAAATTACTGTCATTACTTTTAACTCAATAAGAGAATCAAGTACAGGGGAATATAAAAATACAAAGGAGTAGCCATGTACAGGGGAATATCTAAGTACACATGATAAGGACAAGGGAGTAGCTAAATACAGGGAAGTATTTAAGAACAAAGGAGAGGCTAAATATGCACATGCAAGGGAGTATCAAAGTACAGGGGTATATCTAAGGTAAGTATAGGGAAATATCAGGCGATATCTAAGAATAGAAGAGTCAGCGTTGCGACGACTTAAAGCGTTTCAAAAAGATCAACAATTTATGAAAACACGATTCGAATAAAAGCAAAAAAAAGATTTTTGAAAAAGTCGATAGGAAGCAGTAAGAACGGTATGAAGTCAGTCATAGTTTTACAAAGACCGACAATTGTGAACTTTTGATGAATATTGAGCAATGCGTAAATCGAAAATAATTTTTCTATACAACTAGGCAAATGCTATTTTTGCAAAATCTATAGTCACATTCTGTACCTGGGATTGTAAATAAAACATTCAATCTGTACCTCTATGTTTTGCTGCCTCATAACTGAGTGTGAACTTTGGCGGCGTTTAGTGTTTCACAAGACTGGGAATTGATTCTGACAAAAATACAAAAAAGTTCACGTATGCACTTTGTGTTGAGAAAACTCTTTGATGACGGAGTTAGTTAATTGCATTTTATTAGTTACAAACTTCTCTGGTTGATAATAGCTCTAAGTGTAGCATTATATTATTTGGCGAATTCTCGATGGTCGTATGAATTATGAAACTAAAACATTATACACGACTTTAAAAAGCGACTGGTTTTATATCATACATAAATTACAATAGGTAAATTTAGACAACATTTATCCCAACCTTAACTGGCCATTGCCTTCATGTTTTGAGTCGCCATCTGAGCAAACAAGGCGATCTATATAATATCAAACGGTGTGTTAAACAAAACATCTACAAATTGAGCTAAAGAAAATGGTAAGTAACATTCCGTAGGTAAAAAGTTCTGCAGCAAAAAATAATCCTCTAATATTCTTCCCATACGTTATTAAAATAGTTTGCAATTATTGCTTTGTGAACTTGTTGGTTTTATGTTGGTTGCATTGTAATTCGAAGTAGCGAAGCTATCTCGAAAATTTTAGCCTTGTATATTTCAGAGCATTATCACTATTCATTTCTTGAGATATCTATTGTTTTAGCAGCAGCTTACAGCACAGAAATATTAACATAGTAGGACTAAAAAAGTGTTACTAGAATTATATTTCAGCCAGTGGTGTCATATTACGAAGGAGGTGACGTTTTAACGATTTGTTTCAACGCTAATAATGGACTCCGTCGATTTCGACGTATGAGGGTTCCACAAAGTGGAACATCCTGGTCACTTATAGTGAAGGCAGCTGACCAGACTACAATCACTCGTACCCTTCACGCAACCACAACGCTGATATCAGCGTGACACAGTGTGACAAGGCTGCAACATTGCAGATGCAGATACAGTCCATCCGAGGACATAGTTTCCTCTACCAAATTTCCCTCACATGGCTTTGGTCAACCGGGCTAGGTTTACAGACACATTGCCAAATGTGCCACGAGCCGGATTGAACCCGCGCCGTCTGGCTTACAGCTCACGCAATTAACCATTCAGCCACCCGCCCCGTCCCTGTTTCAACGCTATAGGGGTTTCAGCTCGCATAAAACAAACCTTACTAAAGAAATACATTTTCGTATCTTTACTTTAGAGGATTACAGTAAGTTCTGGGTGATAATTAGGTTATGAAACGTTCCTCAAGTACTGTAAACACGATAAAGCAAAACTCTGCAGTTATACGAGGGTCGGGAGATAAGGGGAGAGAGTTAGAATTACTTCGAGGACGGGTAAACAATTTGTCTAATCGGGTAAAACGCATGGTTCAGAGAGTAAAAGTAACCTGAACTCCCAGAAAAATCTGTGGATACATAGTTACCTTGTCTGGTAGCACAGTTTTTATCACCTTCAAAGCTACTCGGAGGCTAAATTGAAAACAAATAATGCAATAAATCAAATGGATAGAAAACACATATGGTTCATTTAGAAAGCATAAGACATGAAAAATTCGATTTTGTTTTGGTTATTGGGCGTAGCATTCCCCAAGTCTGAACTGCTCCGTTGAGCACTAAGAGCATGCGTGTTGAGATCCACGTTCATTGCACTACTATCTTTAGGCCTGAGCAATAAACCCTTCTCATCATACTTAGCTCCATAGTTAAAAAAGGGGAGGGGAACAAATACTCATGCATTTTTTTTGCAGTCAGTGTTAAGTTACTGCGAAATCAATTGTTTTTATGTATATGTATGTACGAATACCCCCATACAAAAATGTAGCAAAATTTTGCTTGTTTAAGAAGGCGAAATAGAAATAGTTAAACAATACGCATATTTTATTGTACTTCTAGATTGTTAATATATAAAACCACACGCTTCCTAAGTTTCCTTAGAATGTCAACCACAGAGTTAAAAACGAAAAATTGGAGACGACGAAGAGGATGCATAATGAAATTAAACACATAATGAATCCTATAGAGAAACACTCAGTGCGGGGAGAGGAAATGTATAGAAACCTTTACACAGGAACGGCAGTTTGTAGCTCAAATATATCGCACGTCAAAGTTAGATGAGTCTGAAATACCAAAAAGGTTGAATAAAATACTTATCGAATTACAATAACTTTAAATCTCTTATTCAGTGGAACAGGATCTCGAGGTATAATAAATGGTCCATCACTCTACAAACAAAAAGTCAATTCAATAATTTTCTCTTGACGAAAATAATTTTCCGTGACTTCGCATCAACAGACAGGAATGACAATGCAGTTTCTGCAAATCTTTACACTAATACATGACAGGAGACTGGAAGCTATAATGACCATTGGCGTAACCATAGATTGGCGTAACCATAGATTGGCGTAACCATAGATGGGCGTAACTATAGATTGGCGTAACCAGTACGCAAGGTTGGTTGTGCTAGGTAAACTTGAGTAAATTAGCATCGCTTATTTCTTCAGAAACCTATTTCTTTAGTGCGCAATTAGGACCGAAATTGCGAGCTGGTGTTATACGCTAATTATTGTGAATTAACAAAATAAAGCATTTAAAGCCATCATCAAATTTCAAAACAGCCTGTTGATTATATTGCATAAAAACTTAAGACATACTTACGGCGTATGTGAGAGAGGCCTGATGCAATCGGGCAGCTTGCCTTTGAAGAGTCATTCTCAAAAATGCTTCGTCTTTCAAGGCATGCATACTGCAACAAAACAAAACTCAATTATCAACAGTAATATTAGTTATACCTTAACTGGTGAGGTAACAGACCTTTACAACGGTCTGAGAAATCATGTGGTTGTTATTGGAGAAGTGTTGAATGATATCTGAGCACTAAAATGACTGTAATAAAGAAAGCCATATACTACAGATGCTTGACACAGTTGATGTCTACAAATGTATTTCATGTGACACGTTGCCCACTTTGCTATAAAATGGTTATTTGGACTGAAAAACATCCCATAGTTTTGAGTAGACTTTCCTCAACATTAATAGTAAAAAATATGATAATCCTCCCCAGAATCCTTATATCTAAGTGTAATAATGAGGCTGTGTACTTTTATGATCTAAGAGCAATGCTTATTGGAGCATATGCTCCTACATCCAGGCCACTTTGGTAGAAAGGAAGAGGTTAGACAAATTTGGTCAGAAAGGGAAGGCTAAGATCTCTATCCAAAACTATAACATCACGAGAAGAACAAAACACTACAGTGCGAGAAAGAATGTAACGACATTATAATTAGACGGTCAAAGACCTGATATGGTTGTTGCTACTATGATAGAAGAAAGTGTTATTTTGATAAATATCGTGTGGCTCTTTGATAGTTACATGTTTGTTGGAAAAAGAAGAAAAAACTCTGAAAATACAAAAATATATAAAACAGATTGGGAGAATGTCGAACTACATACAAGAAATTGTGAAACTAAAGAATTGAGGAAGAGTAAGGGAAGAAAATTGTTTGACCGACCAAAAAGTTTGAAAGACAAACAATATTTTAATGACGAAAGTTAGTACAGAAAACAGTGAAAAATGAAAAATTAGTAATAATATAAAAATGTACATCGGTCGGTAGAGTGTAAATGAATAGTAAAATACTAAATACAAAACACAGTTATTAAAATAAACTAAATAACGTATCGAAAAAACACATGTTTTCATACCTTTGCTTAAGTATCGCCACCTTCGTCTCCCATGTTTTGTTCACACGTTCTAATTCTTTCCGTAAACTTTAAGATATACGAGCTTGTTTAGTGAACGCATGCGCTGAGGGCAATATATGAAAGGGTCTCAAAAAGGCAACAGAACGATGGAGGCATTGGTTGGAGCAGCTTGCTTAGCTTGAATGAAAATATATTACAACAACTCATTCTTGATTATATTTTTACTTCAAAACAATTTGATTGTTAAAATTATCTTTGTGCTTCTCAAGTTCCTCCGATATTTTTTGTTGAGGAGGAACTCTAAGTTCCAAAAACAATTTCGAGCAAAATGATACAAAAACGCAATACGTGAACCCCACGCAGACCAAACGTGGAACCCACGCAGTACGAAATAAAAACCCATATTTGAGCGTACATTGCGCTGGCTAGCAACAGGCGAGTGTACAGAGTGTCTTGAAAAATCCAAAAATGATATCAGAATAAAGCTAGGCTGCCTTGTAGCGAAGCCATAAGCATATTTGGCAAAAATTCAAACAATATTTCGTAATTAAAATGAAACTTTTCACAAACCTTGCAATCTCTGCATTCAGTTTCACTTCAATATTTTGCAACTTTCTTATCGCTGAGTCTTTCTCCGAATCAGGAATCACATCCCTTTCCTTGAACGAAAGAAAAATGTACGCGAAATTGCATAACGATTGTAGATAACGTTCACTCGTGAGAAACATCAAGAACAGGGGCGGTTGCACGAAGCCTGGATAGCGTTATCCATTGGATAGCAATATTTTCAAACTTGTAAAAAAGGTGTTGAAATTTTTCTTACGACGAAGAACTTTCGTAATCGTTGAAACATTGTTTTATTTCAGTGATTGTTCAGTTCGAATCTTATATTTTTTGCTTTTTAAAAGGTTTTATAAAAGTTTAAAGTGTCTATGAAACGAAAATTTTGCAAATTAAATTATGTTTGCAATGACCAGAACTTTCGAAATGACAGGGTACTTTCTAGAACAGTAAATTCATATCTCTTTTTATTCGAGTGATATTGACGTATTTTTATTTCCAATTTATCCAACTTGTTACGTCATTACATTATTGTAAATGTAGATCGTCCAGATTGGTATAGTTCTGAGAAGGACTGTTTTGTTGTTGTTGACTGACGTTTCGACAACCTTAGCGGTAGTCATCTATAGAGTCAAATGACTCTACGATATTTCTTGTCTTCAAGTAAATGGTTTGAACTCTCTGAAGAGTCATTTGACTCTGAAGATGACTACCGCTAAGGTTGTCAAAACGTCAGTCAACAACAACAAAAACAGTCCTTCTCAGGACTATACCAACCTGGACGATCTACATTTACAAACATGTAACGAGACTCCCGGGTTCAAACCATTTACTTTGTTACGTCATATTGCATAATGAGTTCCACAATGTTTCAAATACTCTTTAGTTTCCTGACAATTTTAGATTGATACCAGTAGGCAACATTTTATACCATTAACCACGTCACGATGAAGGGGACTCTGTCCTTGTGTAGTACAGTATTGGTAACTATACCTAGCAATTCTAGTGCCATTATGCAATGTGACGTCACATGTTAGATAAATCGGACAAACAAAAACATCAATATCTCAAGAATTAAAAGTGATATGTATAAACTGATTTAGAATGTCCATTGTCATTTTAAAGAATCTCTTCAATAAAAGAATTACTCAGACGCTATTGGCTTGCTGCTATTTTTTTGTTGAGTATCTCAAATTCAAATTTATTTTTTACGCGATTTGAGACGACGCATGAGAAATCACACAATTCGTTTATACTTCTAAACAAGAACATTGAGATAAAACAAATCACATTCTCAACTTTATTCTTCTTTGACGTGAAAGTGGCGCCATGATGAAAAATGTATATCACAATAACCTTTCCATTTAGCCTAGTTGTGCAGATACGGATACACTTGGAAAATATGTTTTGTTACAAACGGAAAAATACATATATCTGAGTTAATAGTTAGCCTGCATGTTACAAATAAATCGGACTACGTATAAAGACGGGACCGCAGCGTGATGGTTAATAGCAAAGTCGAGTAGCTTTAGATAAAAAAAGATACAGCTATACAGTACATGTTGTTTGCAAAAGTTATGAAACTGCTTACCTTTTTTTTCAAAGCTTCCTCGAGTTCACGTCTATTTTCCAGCTCGCGTGCTCGATATTTCGAAATCTGCTTCGTCATAAGTTCTTCCATTTGCTTCTGTGAGGTAGCAACCATCTAGAACAGAATAAAATAAGTAAAAAATCTCGCAGCTTTCTTTCCAATATACCAACAAAGCCATGAATACAGTTTGCTAGTTGCCAGATATTCTCCGTATGCTATTGACTTCGTTATTGAGTAAGTCAAGAACAGTTGTTGATGTTGAGGCTAATGTCCAGTTTTACTATTTACATATGTACAATTTTTTACGCCAATAACTAATTTTAACAGATGAAGAAATAAACACTTTTATCAATAGAGTAGGATATTATATGGATTATAAAACGTAGCTACTTCATAAAGTGTTTCAACCATTATCATTTTGCAACAAATCAGTTTGTAAATTACCGTTGTCTATAAAGTATGGTGCCGAAACAAGTCTCAAAGAGTATTTTAAAAAATTGGAAAACACGAACTGTTCATGAAATTGTAACAAAATATTAAAAAATTATTAAATCCTGAAAAATTTATTCAAACAGTATACTGTTTGAATACTATCTATAGATACGTATGAAAGCAAAGCAAAACTTCGCCAGACGACATAAATATGAAAAGCTACAGAAAAACCTTACAAAAATTTCTATAAACATTTCATAGAAGATCATTATGTGAAATTGAAACAATTTTACATAAAATTTTTCTTTCCCTGTGAGATTTTATGTGAAATTTTTCGGGAAGGCAAGGTGTGACATTGTTACATTATTATTTTTAAAATTCCTACGTCGTGCAGAGCACAGCTATAATTACAAAATAACGCAGTTAAAGCAGGAAAAAATGACAAAAATAGGAGTACTTACATCTTCTTGCACTTTTCGCAAACGGTTGTCGTAATTTTGTTGTAGGTAGAGTTTCTGTCTTTCAAGCTTTATACATAAAACATAATACATGTTCCAACTTGGTTATACTCTTGGATTGTCAAGCATGGATAGCCTCGCGAAGACAACATGCAGCTACTCACAACAAAAACCATAGCCATAAAAATATTTCAATTGTTTTTTACCTGTTTTGTTGATTCCTTTTTTTCGCGTTCACATTCAGCTTTCGCATCAATGACTTCTTGTTTTAGCTGCAATAAAGTGTATAAAAATGATAATCAACACAAATCGTATGAAGGTACGTAGCTAATATTTTTGTTTTGTTCTACAAGAATCCTTCCACAACACAAACCAGAGATCTAAAGATGCAACAAAGTTCAAAAAACTTCTAACTTTTTGACCAATGATTTAAGAACATCCCTGCGTGTTTCAAATAAGGATAATGTGCCTTTCTTATTTCATTTAATGTTGAAATCAACGATGATCGTGCATGCATGAATGTTGTGACTATCATAAAAGCTGGGTTGCTCAATAATAATGGAATGAGCAAAGTTGTCAAAAGAAAGTCAAAATATATGTTACAGCAGCTGAAATTCAAAATTTTGACAAAGGTATTAGGCATGGACTTCCCAAAGGATATCTTACCAATAACAATTATGATCACTTACACGGTCTGTGATTGCTTGTTCTTGATTCAATTTATCTGAAAGGCTACGAACTTCTCGCGCTAAAAGTAAAAATATCATGAAAAACTGGAACCGGCGCAATGAATAAATTTTAAAATGTAATTACGTAAACCACATCGATTACATGTCAATCGTCGAAGATCTAAAGACTTGAAAGCAACATGACTAATAAGTTGATTCAAAACACTGTTTCATTTCTATGAAAGACAATGTGATAAAATAGAAAGTCTCTTAGATAGATTTTGTATTTCGGTAATGAATTTGCCAAAAGTATTCCAATTATTTTTCATCACGCTTATGGACAAATGTTTGCCATTTTGAATTTTTGTATTGCAATGCAAAGATGATTTATACATGGCATACAAAGTGGTTTATACGTTTGGTAATTCAAGCATCAAGCATTATCGTCTTTACTAAAAAAGATTCTTTGAAAAAACACACACACACAATAAAGCCATTTTTGAAGAGAGTCGAGAAAATTCAATCATATTCACATCTAATAAAACGTTTAATAAATAAAGACGACATAAAAAGAACCACCCCACCCCCTCTCTCTATAGGTAGTTGATTATAAATGCTAAATTTATGAGCCCCAATCAGCCTTTAAAATGGCAATTGCGATTGCCCTGTTTGGATACAATCATGTGAGCATATTTCAAACTGCTTTACAAGATGTGGATTACAAACAAATAATGTTGCTACATACATAGTGAGTGAAATTTTACTACTATTCAATGCTAATTTATAAACTGGGTATTTCTTGACCTCCTTCTTCACATGGCAGTTAGCTAATTACTATATCTTATTAGTGCTGTCCCGAAATATCCAGGATTCATTTATTTAGAATTTATAACAATATTTCTAGAGGGAAATTTACTTTTTGTGTGGTTTTTATAACCAGTGAGTATGAGTGAACTTTAAGTAAGATTCAGGTCAACATAAAACGTGGATATAATCGAAAAAGTTATAGTTTACTTTTAAGTAAGGGATCCAAAATACAGTCTTTACAATCGCTAATATTTTACAAAATGTGGTACGTGAGTGAAAAATATGATATAAGATTATTAGTGCTCACGTGACACAATTTAAAGATATCTATTTCCAACATACTCATCTGTTTGTTCTCTTCTTCGTACTGTTTCAGAGCTGAATCCATATCCTCCAGTTTAGCTTCCAGTTCATCAATTTGTGACACAAGGTGCTTGCGTTCAGCGCTGCTGGATTCATCTTGCTGAGCCATGTATTGTTGGTTTAACGCATCTTCTAGCTCTCTATCAGCAATTTCTTGTTGTTCCTTTAATTGCATCTTCATCATCATGAGTAACGCTTCTTGTTGTTCGGCTGCCTTACCGCGCTGCTTTTTCAACAAGTCGTCATTTTTCTTACAGTTCTCAAGTTTTTCGCGCTTCGCAATCTCCTTATTGATAAACCGCTATTTGTAAATTCGAAAAGACAAAGTGATTTGGAAGTAGAGGGAAAGCCATGCTTCCAGTTACGAGAATTTGTTATTGAAGAAAAATCCATTTCCATTGAACATTGCAAAGAACGAAAATTAAACAATGAAAAATTACTTGCTTTGGTAATATAAGCAACGATAACAATCGTATTCTCCATATGCACATGATATCAGCGTGAACAGATCGCATACACAAATACAGCAAATATTGTGTGTGAAGTGAATTCATAATTATGACTAAGATTACACGTCTGGAGGGCCGTCTTTGATAAATTTTGTCCTGTTTTGAGTGAACGCAAATTAAAATTTGACCGTATTTTATTCGTGGAATTGACTAGAATGCTCGCTACAAGACGCCTAAAAGGTGTCAAACAATCTGCACCCACAACTCTCAGAGTGTAGAAAACTGGCAATTCTGATTCGTTTTGTCTAATCCCAAAAGCAGTTGTGAGGTCTAGTTTTGCACAACATTTACTTTACCTTGCAGGAGACGCAAATAAAACTCCCATTATAGAGTCAAGTGACCATGTCACGTCGTAAATACTTTACCAAATCTTTCATGCTTACCTCATATTCATTGGATATTTGTGCAATAACGTCAGCTAACTGTTGCTTGAAGCATCTTCTGATTGTTTTTACGCGCTAAAGAGAGGAACAGATGTTTTCAGGGAAGACTCATTGAATAAAAGGGCTTCAATCGTCGACGGTTTAAAGCAAAGAATGAATTTAATAGGGACTAGGGGGCACCTCTCTAGCCTTGGCTAGTAAGGGTGTAGGAGATGTGCCAATTTTCCTTCCACATTTAAAATAGCCATAATATTAAGAAAGTATCAAACTTAAGGGAAAGTAAATCCCATAAAATATTTTCCAGTCTACATACATTGCATGGCTACACCTGCAAAATATCTAAACTAAAGTCCCCTGCGTAATCAGCCCGTAAAGTAGCCCCCCTTCGTAATCATCCTGGATTGCTCTGTACTAAAGGTTAGAAGAAAACGTGGATGAAATTCATGAAATTGACAGCAACTTTAAAACCATTTTTATTTCCTACTCATTTTTTCAAGTACAAAAGGCAATGCAATGAGAAAAGTCGAAAAACCAGATCTTTACTGAGGGCTCAGTTGGAATCCTGATCAAGCCAAATTACACAATATCAAATACAATAAAATCCAGGTCCGTGACAGGTAAAATCAATCTGCTTCTAATTGATCGTAAATGTACAAAAGTACGACGGTTCTAATAAACGAAAGTACGACGGTTTTGGTGCCTTGCAATTAGCTGAATAGCAAGAATGAGCAGTATGTTTATCGGTATAGACAAATGAAAAATTATAGCAATATCCAGCAAATTCCGATACATCCCTACTTTTACCGATTATTTTTTACCATGCACAGACTAAATACGCACGCACTAATAATCCTCCTTCAAAAAAACAAAAAGTCACTAATATTGATATCCACTAAAACTCTGACTCACGGATGTCATTTCAATTACATTAACAGCACTGCTTGTTCATTACGCACGAAAATAAATTTAATATTTGCTCCAACATGCTGTCAACAAACAATACAATAACACACCCCTCTCTTTCACAATACATTTCTGACATCATTACGTTGTAAGAACTTCACGTTAGTAACATCTTTTGATTCGTAAACTACCTCTTCATGCATCCTCTAGGTCAAGAACTCTTTCATTCACACGGCAATATCTTGACATAAAAAGATGAAAATACGAATGATTTAGTAAGCTGGAACAAATGCAATTACAACTCTGAAATAGAATACAAAATAATAAAATCTAGGTGTCGTAAACAGAATAACATTCGTATCGTCTGCATATTGTTCGTAATTATATTCATATTTTATTTATGCATGCCTTATGATATTTTTTGATTTCCTGCAATCTGATTGGCTGCAACAGCGAGCAGTTTTTACTATATCTTGACCGAGGTCCAAAAGTGATGTTTTTGGCAATGTAATTGTACAAAGTGAAATTAAATTTTTAAAACTGATTTAAAAGCCATTTAAATTGTTGAAGAATTGGGCCAGAACACTAATTTAATGTTACAAAAATAACAATCCGAATTTTATGTTGCATGTGTCCTTTAACTCCAAAATACATTCTTCCGTGTCTAACCACCCCACCTAACCTAGCTGGTACGCTTTTGGCGTCTCAAAATATTATATATTCGCCATTTTAAACAACGCTATACGTGGTAGTAGATTAGATGTACTGTATGTGCGACTTTTTAAAGTGTAAAGAGGAAGACAAGCTAAGTCAACCTTAGATATCGACATTAAACTTTTGTCTCTTCCTATCATGTTGCGTTAAAGTTTTCAAGGGAGAAAGTCGCACCAGTGCCTTAAAGAGTAAAGGAAAAATTAGCCCCTTGAAAAAGCTCAAAAAATCCCGCGCTTTCACTCAGTATTTGAGCTACTGGACAGTAACTGGGAAAATGGAACAGAGGTGCTTAAACAAAGAGAAATCTTTACGTGTTTCATGTATGGACTCGTGGAAGTTTAGTAAACGTTGTCCACGCAAATCTTTTAAGCAACATGATAGAAAAAGACAAAAAGTTTACCACAGTAGTTAATGTCCTTGAAAATAGTTCCGACGAGTGAAGACAATGAAAAGAAGGAAAAGAAGAAAAAAGGAAGAAAAATTTTGAGAATGGTTTTGACAGTGATGAAAAATTTCATTACAAAGGATTTTAGGAACTACAAAGAAATAAACTCTAAGAAGAAAAATATTATATATCAAAACGTACAATAAAATTATACTGTATCAAATAACCATTCGGCAACTATTGTGCAACATTTTCAACGATTGCATTCATAAAATTGTGTTTTTGCTCAAACACAGCATTATATTGTAGTTTAACGTGTCGTAGTAGGGATTTTAAACTTTGTGATAACTATCATTTTGGTGATAACAATTTATACCTTTTACGTAAATTAGCATAATAATGATACGTGGGCCACTTGTCCCAATAGTTAACATCAAAAATCTTTTTCTACACAAAATTTCCTTTCTAGAAAAGTATGTTAGAAAATGATTTCTAGGTGGTGCACGCTACCCCCTCTAATCGACTAGACTAAATGCTATGAATGGAAACAGGAATTTCGATACAACAAACTAACACAAGCTTTTTCAATTTTAATTAGAAACTAAAATCTCCAAAAATAAAGACAGCAATCAAATGACGAAATTAAATCGAATTAAAATTCATAATATCAAGTTCTACGGCATATTTGACGTCCTGAGGCACTTTTCTTGAGTTACCTCAGACAAGTCGTGAATTTAGTGGCTTATTAAGGAAGTCCTTGTTTTCATTTTCATTTTAAGACCTCAGAAAATAAACTTTGCCTCGACAACACACAGTTATTTAGCTATCACATTGAAATAATTGTTCTTCATGCTTAAAATGGATTATTGACTAAGCACAAGCAACGTTTTATTCAAAAGATAACTCTTTCAATTTGAGTATCCAAACCACACGGCACAGACCGTGAATATTGCCGTGAAGCAAAAGATGGTGTGCATGAAATCTTAAAATTGGTACATTTTAAACACGCTAAGTTGCAGGATACTGCGTGATCGCTCCTCACAAAATCAACATGACACATGTAGTTAAATCTCAGGCTAAATATTGGAATCGTTTCTATGCTACATTTTCTAACAAACAGCACAATAAAATAAATACTTCTGAAGGAAATATTATTTAATCATCGACGCAATATACGTTATTCTTCAAAATGGAGCAATTTAACCTGTTTGTTGAAACGCACTTCTAGAAAGGACTCTGTTATCACTCTCTGTTTATTTCTTAAACGATATTCAAAGAGTTACATTTTGGGAGAAGTTTACAGGCATGTTTGAAAGTTTTGTTCATTTCAAAGTGATTGTAAAATAAAAGCAATATTGCGCGAGCGCTGATTGGTCTATAGCGTTGTTGGCATACTCGAGTTGATATACCCACTCATAGGTCTCCTCGGTTTGCATAAAGCCTGTGCAAACAGAGTAAACATCTTTATTTCTTAATTATACAAATAAAACTTAGATGTACATACAAATCAATACTCTTTTCTTCCAGCTTGTTCTTGTAGTCAGCTTCAAGCATATCTCGCCAAATACAAGTTCTTTTTCAAACCAGACAAGTCCTGAAGTGTATTTGGAAAATATAAAGAAATCACAAGTAAACTATGTACAGTTATGCATAAAAGTAGCTGGTAATAAGCAGCCAAAAATGCTCAAAGCGCCAACGCCATGAGCCCGGCAGAAAGGACGAATAGAGCTGCTCACAGCATGGTTAAATTTGAAGGTATTTCAACGAACGTAAATTATGTTTAGGTTTACGTACATAAAAGGCAAACATTTTAACAGTTAAAGGTACAGCCTATTTGATTTTGCAAGTTTTGATTTGGATTAACATTCCTATAAAGGCACGATGAAGGTTGGATTCTCAGGTTAGCAGTCCGATTGTTACGTGAGGAACGGAGTCGTATAGATTATACGTAAATAATAATTTTGTTTTATTCGATTTCTTTGCCGGGTCCTCACGATCTAGCTATTAAATGTATTCCAGGTTATCAGACATAATAAAGATACTTTAAGCGTTAGGTTTTCTCAGGTTAGCATGCGGTAACTGTGAGCTGTACTTACGGACTAAAATCCTTTGTGTCCAAAATGAATATCACGCGTCAAATTACGCGTCAATCAATAAATCATGCATAAATCACCTATACTAAATAATTATCTGTGCAATTTGTCAACGATCCAAATGTCTTCAAAATGTTTTAAAAGCAGGAAATTTGAAAATTTTATGAATTTCAATTGCACACAAAACAAAATGTTGAAATTTAATTATGTACAATTAACAAATACAAGACAAAATTTTGGAAATCAAATTTCAATCTACATTATCTTGAATGCTGACTGTCACTTCTTATCGATTTTAACTGAACTTTTTATACTCTTAAAATACAAAGTTCCCTTTATTTAAGGGTTTTATGTATACCTTTACAAAATAACACATTTTATTGGAGATGTTATAATTTGTATATAATATTCATATTCAGCTTTGCCTGACTGATTTCTTTTGCAAGCAATGTTAATTTGAGAAGAAATTAGTTTTACAGCTGAATATATATTATTCACCTTTCCACCTATTAATGTTCTCATGTCACCCTTTCTAGATGAAGTCTCATCAATACGTTCAATGTTTTAAATACATAGATCCCTGATCAATTAGTTGCATCCTTAGATTGTTCAAGTTGAGTAATTGATTTTCAGTTTGTGAATGCCTGTTTTTGGACCCTGTACCTGGTAATGTATCCTAAACACCATTTGATATTTTTAAAATACCATATCTTATAAGGAACATTCCACATCGAACAATGGTTGAAATGCGAACCACCACTTCATTATCTTTTTACAAATAATTTGCGTTACTTCACAAACATTTGTGTAAATGCATGGTCTTTTGCACTACGTTCTCTCGATGTGGATTTATTCAGAACAGAGGTTACCATTCAAAAATCTCTCATACGTTGTGCATCTCATTGTCTTACTAATTTGTACATAATGAGCACCTTTTACTGTGGACAAACGTTAAAGCAGCGTAACACTTTGCACGGATTTCTTTTAAGAATCAAATCATTATAAAATAATTCCCAGCTGTATTATTAACCGTAGGATCTCGCATTCAAAGTATTAATCTCACATACAACGTATTAGTCTCACAAACAACGTATTAATCTCACATACAACGTATTAGTCTCACATACAACGTATTAATCTCACATACAACGTATTAATCTCACATACAACGTATTAGTCTCACAAACAACGTATTAATCTCACATACAACGTATTAGTCTCACATACAACGTATTAATCTCACATACAACGTATTAATCTCACATACAACGTATTAGTCTCACAAACAACGTATTTAAAAACGTCAGAAAATATCTAGAGAAATGCGAACCTCAACTTAAATAGAAAATTTTACGCAAATATTACGTTAACTGCAAGATGGTAGTTTAAACAGTTCTTAAAAGAACTGAGGTACAAGCCTTTATCACCATTGCCCAGTGTTATTTGCACACGCCCCATGTGGAAATCAACTTGTATGTTGACAATGGTAATCGTGTTAAAATAAAATTATCTATCTAAACAAAACATGTTTTGCGAAATATATATTCTGTTTCTTCTATGAAATAAAATAATGAAAACGAATGAATTCAAAAATTTTATTAAAACCTAAACAGACAAACAGAGTTATTTGCATGCAGTTTAACTGGTGCATTATTGCACGTTGAATGGGCCTCTAACATGTACACTAACTTGTTTACATTTTTGCAGTAAATATTTTCTCAATTAATCCTTAGTAAATTTTATTTTAATAAGATTGCCTTGTCAGTATAATGGGATAATGTTATGGTCCTCCTGAAGGCTAAAGTTGAGCTGTAGTTAATTTGACTTCATCTGCTTGATTACTTCTCTTTTTTCAGGAATACGCCCTTTTTCGAATGGAATGCTTAAATCATTTCAGGCATTTTTCCGAGGAGAAACCTGGAGACAAGTTGCGTCATGATAATGGTAAAATCCATTGTGATGTTTAGGGTGAAGTACATTTTTTGGTGATTAGAAAGAATGTCATTCAGATGTAGCATGTATGTAAATTATCTCCACCAACACAATTGCTTGTTTGCGTCTTCATTCAAAGTCTTCTTGCATAACGGGGTTTCTTTTGATTTTCTAATTGCTAACAGTAATGGGCTTAAATGTAAGGTGTGTATAACTGCGTTCACTTGTGTGTGAATTTCTACTCAAATTTTCAAATGAATTATCTAGTGGTTTAACTCTATCTAAACAACAAGGAGTTAGATACACTGTGTTGTCAATAGGTTATGTGCAACCATCCTCTTTGGCGGGAACAAGATTGCTTCATGACAAACCAGATAATATATCAGATAGTCGCATGAAATGCATGACAAATCCAAGATGGCGTGAGAACGAGGCAAAAAACATTAAAATTTTTTGCAATTAACTTTCAGCGCAAACGTCAAAGAATCGTTAGAAAAGACGTCACTGCAAAACTATATCATTAAATATGCCATCATTTGGGGAAAAAAATTATTATTTTACCACAGCATTTTTCAACAATTTTTTCCACGCTGTTTTAAAAGAATGATGATGGTAAAGGTTCTATTGAAAGAATTATTATCAAATGTCAATATTATGCAAAGTTTCATAAGATGTATTCATGAAAGTTAAGAAAACACAATATTAAATATTCTTTGTCATTTTCATTTTCATCTCTGAAAACTTTAAGGATTTATAGTTTTTTTTCCAAGAATGCCAACTCACACTTCTCCCACCGTCGAATGCTGTACTATAGTAGTGCCCATTCAGATTGGAAGAATGACAATTATTATACCACCAAGCACCTTTCAGGACAGTGGCGCAGTTTCTTCCACTTTTGTCATTATCTGAATCTTTTGTTGAAAACGCCATGCCATTATGAATACGTAATGAATCTCCAGCAGTTCCTAAAAAAAGTAATTTTGCTCAGAAAAATTTTACGTCATTTAGCTGATGTTATTACAATTCTCCTTAAGAATTGCGGAAGTCCCAACCACAAACATGCACAATTATGTTGACTGGACAATATCGCTGGTATTATAGTTGTTGTTACTAATTTATTAAACCATTTATCCTTCTCGAAATCAAGTAAATCGCAAAAGTAAAAGTTGTCTACGAATTAATTAGCTACATGTCACGAAGGCTTTTTAACTTTCTTTCACCCCACCTTCATTGCCCTGAAGTTTTTTCTTTACCCAGTCTATTCACATTGATCTCAATTGTTACTTGGACTGATTCTTATTATATTATAGATTTTCAAAATTTGTTTGCTTTGGCCTGTTTCATACGTAGCGTTTTAAATAAGCCGAATGCATTTAAAACAACAGATAATTTGGAATTTTATCTCATTTTCTTTTGTCTTTAATGCGTTCGGTGCCAGAGCTAGAACAACGGGTCTGGGGCGAGCGCGGCGCCGCCATTTTCGTGACTACTTGCAAGTTAAACTTGTAATAAAATTGTGTGAAAATGGCTAAATGAGCAAAATAATAAAGAAATTCAGCCTAGTTTGATGGAAATTTTAAATATATCGGAAACCACAATCTAGCTTTTGGCGTTTTTGTGAATAATTACTGCAAACCAAACTCAATTTCGTGGATTTGAGCTACATTCGCTGTTGACTAGTTCGTGCTTTTAAACTAATTGTGACCATTGAGTTCTATAAGACCTGGAGGGGAAATGTCAACCAAATTACTATAAATTATTAGCGCGCGGCCGTGTGGTCAATAACATGGCGGATTTTGGTTTTCAAAGTCAGCGGAAAGACGCGGGCTCATAAAATAAAATTTTTTTCGCCCACCCGGATTTGACAACCACAGTTGCGATTATATAAATTATCAATGCCAAGCACAAAAACTTTAGAAATTTTATCTTTAGAACATGCTGCAAACTTGTTTGGTGTACGGATGCTGAAGTAATGTCAGAAAAGGAAACATTTCATGACACCGGTAAGCAACGTAAGATTGTTTACTATTTAAAGTGTTCTGTGTTTTGATTTAAGTCAATACTTGAAGTGTGATGGTATATATTTTGTGAATATTTTTACTCCTAGGTTATAATCTAAGTAATATTTATGCAGTCTTATTTGTTCTTTACTTAATCGCTTGCTAGACGAGGCAAAGCAACCAGTTCTTATCGCGATATGCATATCTTAAAACTCCTTGTTTCAACTGAGTTGAAATGGAGGATTTGTTCATGATGTTTTTCTGAAAATATGAAGCAAATATTAAGGAAAGAACTGTATTGAAATCAAATGCAGTGCAGGATTAATTAATGAACGATTTGGTACATGTCGTACAATAAAAATACCTGTATTAAACAGCAAACCTGGACAATTTGACAGATTATGGAAAATCATGATGATGGTGTGTAAAGGTTTGCTTTTTGCTAAAAGTTTTATAAATGCCATCTGGTGTTTCTGTAAATGAATTGTTTGTTATGCAGGGTAGTAAATAGGTTAGTACATCAAAATGAAGATAAAAACTACTTTGTTCAATAATGTGCCAAATTTTGCGCCTACCTTGAAATATTTGCTCAAGAAAAGCTTATGATGACATGCATGAAACATTAAATTTAGTACTGCATCATCTGACAAATCCATACGTTTTTCAGTTCCAGGTGATTAAAAATTCACATAAGATGCATTGGTTGCATTGAAGTTGAATGTGGAAGAAGCAAAAATTGATGGCAAAGAACTTTTTATGTCTTTTGAAGAATTAGGATATCATTTAAAAGAATAAAAGTAGCAATCCAGTAAAAGAAGCGACATCTGTCTTCAACATGAGACTTTTCCAATTATGTATAGTTACTTTGTACAAAATCCTATATTAGAAAAACTTGATTTTAAGTCATTCACTGATATTTTACCAAAAGACAAAAAGAAAAATTCAAAGGCATAATGTAAAATTCAATAGTTTTCAAGTTGTTTGAACCTAAAAAATTAGTATAGGTAACTGTAATTTGTAAGGACACAAGAGAAAAATTGCAAGAAGGTTAGCATTTTGAGAGTAAATAAGTTCTTCTTGACATACATTACACAAGGCCATAATATTATAAATAATGACTGTACAATAACAATTATACAACATGCTAAATGTCTTTACCTACATTATAATTATTTAAACAGGTTTGCCTTCATGCAGCAATAAGAAAAGTGTTATGTCAGAGAAACCAATGCACTTTAATTTTAAGAAATAGTACTTTCAATGGTAAATTAATGTAGTTCTGTTCAGTAGTAGATCCATGGTTGTCAATGACAATCCAGTTTCTAATATCTTAGCTCAAAACAGAACCAGCAACATGATTATAGACTTTCTGAATTTTGTTCTTTTGCTCTCCTAGTTCAAGATATTTTTCTCATAAGGTCTTAGTAGATTTATCAGAATATCATAATACTTTATAAGACACCCAGAATCAATCTTACCAAAAAAACTCAAAAAAATTACATACCTACTTACAATATATTTCCAGTCGATTAAGTTGTAGGGGTAAGTTAACTTTTTCTAACTCCTTTTTGGACATTCTAACTAAGATTTACCCATCTATTTAAGAAAGACAGTTGCACCAAGCTGTTAACAAACAGTCAAAAACACAAGTAATGCTAATGGGATTATGCATTAAAGCTTAACGACACATTTACAGTGTTAAGAATGCCGTTTGATACTTATTTCTAATATAGCTAAACATTATTTGACAAAATGTACGTTATTTTCCAGTAGATTTACCTCATTTAAATGTGTATGTCTATTTCACAAAAACTTGAAGCATTATTTTCAACATTTTATGCTTACGGTATTGCGGTTGTTTTCGCTGGTTGTCATTAATATAAGCAGAAATAGAAATCCAGATTCGGGAGGGAGCGAATGTTAAAAAATTAAAAATTGAGCTGTTATAATTTATTTTCACTAATATATGTATTTTGACTTAAACTGTGCCTACCATTGAATAGGTGTTATCCATAGTTGTACAAAGTTTTGTTTTGAAGCACTGTAGTAATGAAATTTTGCTTAGCTAGTACATATTTTGCAATGTAGTCCACGCATAAAAATTTAATGCAGACAGATTACAAAGGTTTTTTGCTGGAAAATTATAAATATAAAATATTTGTTAGATGCAGTAGCTCTTATATTCTATTAATTTAATGTGAAGTTGTTGATTTCTTTATTGCTTGTGAAACTGTGATTATAGTTAAAGTTTAACTCCAATGCAAAGCGGTATAGGCTTCTATTTGGTGAAGCATTTGTTGAAAAGGAAATTATGTTTGTGTATTATAAAACAATTCTGCTGTTGAAGAACAGTCTTGTTTGCTACAAATGTTACTGTTTGCACAGACTTTGACATTGTATATGAGTCTAATCTAATTTTTAATCTAGCTTAAAAAATTAATAAGTTGAGTAATGACAAAACTTCTGCATGTTTTTCCAAATTATAAAGACCAAAGACCACACCAAATCATTCATTATATGAAGACCAGAAAAAATCATTGATAACCAAATCGAACATGCTCTGGTTTAAAGTACAGTCAGAATATATATTTTATTACCAGTAATGTATTTTACCCAGCTGTTTCAGTAAATATTTTATTTATGATTACTGATACTATACTTTCAAAAGATTTCCTAAAGATGCAAAATACAATATTCAGAAAAAATCATTGATAACCAAATCGAACATGCTCTGGTTTAAAGTACAGTCAGAATATATATTTTATTACCAGTAATGTATTTTACCCAGCTGTTTCAGTAAATATTTTATTTATGATTACTGATACTATACTTTCAAAGGATTTCCTAAAGATGCAAAATACAATATTCGAAAGTATATTATTTTAGCATATTGGATCAGCAATTATTATCTCTTGAAGTGGTTAAGAACTTGTAAATTAGAGTCATTTCTGAACATAATGATAAGTCATAATCTTTCTATAAAGCACAGGCTTTGTATGTTGGAAAACTATTGAATCGTTAGCATTAGGACAAATATTTCCAATGATTTTTTACTCGAAAACAATCTTCGTAAAGAAACCTTTAGGTCAAGGTCAGTTAGACACAATGGCCACTACGCACAATCCAATCTATCGTAAAGCCATTTCTTTCTTTTTTCCCGATTCCATGAATCTGGCGATATATAGTTACATGTTTTAGCTATCAAATAATCAATTACTGTAACCATACTTCCAAAATATCAAAATATTTTCTCAAAATACAAAGAAACTTGTAATAATCGCCATATAAACACTAGTTGAAATTTCAAAATTAGGAACGAAAATGCGGAAATTAATCATGTGATCGATATTATCCAGTCAACGTTTGCAAACCAGAGAACAATACATGTCCCAACTCTTACAAATAGAGGGCTCTGTTCGGTGCATGTAAAGTTTGACTTATGAAACAGACCTTACTTGATGGCCTACCTGGAAACTTTCCGACGCTCAATTGATATATTTGTGTTTCATGCTTATAAATGTGAATTGTCCGTGTAAACTTAAATAAATTTTTGTTATGTTTAGGTTGTTGCTAAGTTCATAAAAAACTTTTACATGCAAGAACAAGTTATAATGTATACATCATTTAGGCATTGAAACTTGCATTTACAATTATTTACTAGAGCTTACTTTAATGCTTGCATTTTATAAAAAAGATTTCAGTCAATGATCATTAGACAATGGTATTCACAGTATAGATTCTTTCTTATGTACCAAATAATTTAGTCGTGTTTATTGACTACATGTTGTTCAGGTGCTAGGTTATCATTACGTAATTTACAAAGCTGCAGTTGAATTTGCATTTCATGTTAATGATAAGTTAATCACAATTATTACATGTCACAATCAATCTTTGCAACAGAATCGTTCGCAAATTGGAACGACTTTTTAGTTTACGTTTGTTTGTTGTATTTTTTCGGTAAGTTTTTAAGCTCAAAATTAATTATATTTTTATTGATAAACAAGGCTTTAGTTCGAAACCAACCGTTACTATCCGTTTTTTTCAAAACTTGCAGAATCCCCCATCGCAAACTGCAATCACTCAAATCATTCCAACATTTTGCATATGTCAAACTCACGATTAGAAATTTTCCCGTTTATATTTACGTATTGACTCACCAGAATATGCTCCACGACTTAGTTGATATTTTTTACTTTCATTCTTTACAGCAAAATAATCATATTCAGCATATGCTTTGTTTCCTGACCAGTCTCCCAGGTCAACACGAAGTTTATTTCTCTTGGCTGATGTTAGTCGGTATATTTTATCCAATCCAAGCCAGAATTCAGAAGTAAGATTACCAAATCCTTGTTTATAGTCTTTCCAACCGCGATAGAAGTTTACACTTCCATCTTCACGACGTTGAAACACAGTCCAACCTCCACCAGATGACGTCATATCACAGAAGACACTGAATCTGCCCTGGCCATCTGGATCAATTACATAAACTCCGTTCTTTTTTTCACCTTTTCTGTAAAGATCTGCACAGTTTTGTTCCTGAAAAAAAGTTTTATTAAAAAAGCTATTGCATTGTACGTCTTATGGGTTTTGTAACTTATTAAACCTATAAGCAAATTGTTACACAGCTTTCCTGTGCATACATCCATTGTGCTAAATAACTATTTTGTACATTTTATAATTAAATGTTAAAACAAATTAGCAATAAAATTGACTCAAGATCATTACAATTGCTTTCTTATCTTTGAAATCAAGAGAATTTCAGTAACTTAAAAGATCAATTTATTTTATACTGATTCTGTGACCTGTGGCGTGTTTGATTTATTGTAGAAAACAAATATATCTTCTGATATTTTCAGTTATCGTTCGGCTGTCTGTACGTACATGATGCAGAGCATGCCTAAATAGAAAGGTTGGTAATAATGCCTTGTTATGATGATAAATGAATTGAACGTCTCTTACCGCAAACTTTCATTATAAGAACACAAAACCTGTTTAAAATGGTCAAATTGAGTAGAAACAAAATCGCACTTAAACATTTCGGAAATTTACATTTTATATTTGAAATTCACCAATGCATAGTTTCCATGCATAAATCAGTTAATATTATTATTAAACATTATTTAGGATGCTACAGGCGTGGAAAAGTTATCTAATGAACTACCGTTCCGATTTAAAGACAATATGTTTTATTTAATTAAAGCCCAAATTTTCATTTAGGTAATGTTATCATATTTTTAATATAAATGATTGACAATTAAGCAGACAAATTGAATGATATTAACTGATTCTAAACATCAACTGATGTTTTTATTGATGAAGACTTTGCGAGCATTTCAGTGATCATTAATATATATCTCTTAATAAAGGAATAACACAAATCTTTTCATGTGCAAGATTCTTCAACACTCCTTACTATCTTCGCTAAAATAGAAATTTAATTTTTGTTAAACTGACAAACAAAAAACCATTTCATTGCCAATATAAATGTAATGAGTACATAGTTTTCCACCAGCTATATTTTCAAAATGCTGTAGGTATTTTATATTACAATAAATGAAAAATGCAAGAAAGGGTAATATTTATCATGCATTGCTTTAATCCAATATGCTTTAATCAATGCAGTACTAAAGAAAGCTTAAAAATAAAAGTATGACCGCAGGATATTATGGGGGTTTCCAAAAAGATGATTTCGAAAACGAACACTTGATCAGGCTAACAAAAAACTGAGCAAAATTTCTTATTGAAAGAATTTTAAGTCAGATTTAATATAGTTTTCCAGAAGACTTACCTAGAGAAAATTGGCGTGAATTATCAATTATATAAAGTTAACGCAAAATGCCCACTTAAGAAACATTTTCCAATCAACTAGCTAATTTCTTTACTATTACCGTCGGTAGTTGAGTTTGATAAAAAGTCCATTTTCCTTCTGAGGCAACTTTCAGTAAATTGCTGTCTGTTATCTTGTTAGTAATTTGGCAGTTTATCTCATGTTCTTTTGCATCAAATAAGAAATTGAAGCCAACACATAGATTCTGTTGATGACATTTCGTGAAACATTCAATGTGATTGGGAACAGCATGAGTTGAAATGATATCTTTCGGTGAAAGAATCTCACCTTAAAATAGAGAACAAAACAGAATACATTACAATAGGTGTAAATTTTGCACAAAGATAACAAAGTCCCTTTTTTAGTCAGTATATACATAATAAAATTAAAATTTACAAAACTCAATGAGACAGGAAGCAAAAGAAAGTCCTCAATTATCTTCGTTCCTTAAAAGCAACCAATCATCATTTATAATTAAACGTAAACGCAAACATTTCTGTACGTATATTATATAGACGTGGTGATACAATGGTAGCTACGATTATGCCCTAAATTTGCCAAATTGTATTTTGCGTTTGAATTGTCATCAGTAGATTTTTTTAGTAATTTTTATGACAACTATCATATAAACATGCAAAAGAAACTTATTTCGTTCATAACATGCTATTCACACAGCAAAAATATTAAGACTTTTTTTGCCTTAATTCATAAATGAGATATGAATATGTTCTTAACGTCTAGCGCAGGGGCGGATTGAAACTACGTCACATTCAGCACGCGACGTAGTTAAATTCTTCACAGCAGCGGAAAAAATTAATCAAATTTTAAATGCCCCTAGTTAAAAATAAAAACAATTTGCCGCGTCTGGATCGAAGGCCGTTTTGTCGAAAGGACTAAGAGCATTTTTCTATTCGTCTTTTGCAGGTTCGAGTCTCGTCTCGGTATGGTGTAGTTTGTTTCGTTGTGTAAATAATGATCATGAATTCTTTATCCGAAAATTAATTAAATTTTTTCTGTCCTCACAACGAAAGCATTAGAAAAATAAACATATTGTCAGTGTTAGGGATAGTATTATGAGAAAATTGTGCAACAACGTGCATTCACTGAGCAATGTTATTGTTTCCAAGACCTGGATTAAGATTGGGATTAAGGGATCAAGTGGCTAAAATAAATTATATTTCACTTGCGGGAGAAATACCCATAGCTAACCCGCACAGAGTCAGCACGCCTTAAATTGTGCTGAATTTGGAGACTAAAATCTGTCTCTTGATTGGTTTATTGCCGTTGTGCTGACTAACGAGCCGCCGTTTTTGCTGAAATGTTCCAGCGGTGTTGTGCGAAATTCAGCACAGATTGAGATTGTTGATAGCTGAGGTTTTATCTTTGAGCTTCAAAACCAACGATTTTAATGAGAAGCATGGCATCTTTCACTGATCGAGTCGAAGATGCTTTTACGAGGAAAGATGAGACTTTTATGGCTCAACTCTACGGAGAGATGTTGGATTGCCTGAAAGTCAACAGCATTGTTACCAACGATAATTTGTTGGATCGTCTCGGTGTTGATATTTTCCGAAATATCAATGCCGAATTTTACATACCGCAGAGTGCCAAGACAAAGAACACAAATTTGGTTGCCTTAAGGTTAGAAAACTTATGACATGTTATGCATGCATGCTTACACAAGAATATATAAGCAAATATAAATTGACTTGATGTGATGCCCGATGGATTTGTCATTTGTGGTTTATTTATGTGATTCAAAACAAAACAAATTTTCGAATTTCGATCATATTTAAAACGTTTCTATTGATTTATTTCTTGATGTGTTTAATAGTATACTTAAGATAAGATATACAAAAATGAACTGAAGCATAATATTTGAAATTTACATAACATTATTTCAGATCTGCTACAAATGGCAACTGCCTCTATAGTTCATTGTCAATTCTGCTTGTTGGTGACAACTCTGTGGTGACTATTTTGAGGCTCATGACCTCTATAGAATTATTTTTATATGCTGATTATTATGTGAAACATCCATGTTTTTCAAATCTTTTTGAAACTCAGCATAACAAACACTTTGATTCCATCTCAAGCATGGTGGCCATGTCAGTCTCTTTTGAAGCTATTGATAGTGCTGGAAGTGGTTGTTCTGTTGCTGAACTGGTCAGGGCAGAAGCTGTGTTAAATGCAAAAGATATGGCATGGACTGGGTTTGTTTGTTTGTTGGCACTCTCTTCAGTTACATCCTGTAGCATTTTTTCTTACTATCCTGACATATACTCTAGTGCTTATAGGTGGAATTTATTATTTAACCAAAGAATTGAACCTCGAATTGATCTAGAGCTTGTGCTTCCACTAGTAATTATTTGCAGTTTTGTTTTGCTTTGAAGGTTCAGCTCCTCAAGCAACTGCATTCAAACACAATCACTATGTGCCTTTGATACTTGGTGGGAAGGGAACTAAAAGAAAGGGAAGTAGTCACTTGTCACAAGCTAAAAAGCCCAGTATACAAACAAAGTTGAGGTTTACACCTTCTGGTCCTACTGAGACAACCATGACAACTAAGGCTCATCCATATGGTATATCTCACAGTAGCGCTTTGGGTTCTTGTGATGCTTCTTTTATTTCATCTTCTACCTTGCAATTACCAGATAATAAAACTGCAAATGCTGATTTGCCTAGAAATCCATATGATGTTGGTTTTTATAGAGAAAAGGTGAGAGGTATGGAAATTCATGAAATTGAAAAACTTGTGAAGAATGTATTCGTACCTGATGAATGCTATGAATTTCCTAAAACTGTTGATGCAAATGGTCAGTAGGTCCTTTCGACATGATTGGCTGAAGGATTATCTTTGGCTTTCGTATTCTCCAAGTCTTAATGGTGCTTTTGCTTACCATGTGTTTTGTTTGGTGATAGGTTTCCTCAAAACAGTCGAATTAAAATATTTTTTCAGAGCCATTAACACATTGGCCTGATGCTAAAAGTGCAATAAAAGGCATATAAGTACATCATCAGGTCTTCATGTTCACACTTCGCTCTTCTTAAGGATATCTTGGATCAGAGTTCGGTAAAAGCCAGCCAATAAATGTCATGATTGACAGTAACTTAAAGAAAAGATTTCAGAGAATAGAAAAAATTAGTTCCAGTAGTTGATACCATCATTCTTGCAGGTCGCCTTCAATTACCACTTAGAGGTCATCGGGATGATTCTCATATCATCCTGAAGTTGGTGAATATTCTGAAAAGCATGTTGGTAATTTTATTGAATTATTAAACTTCCGTGTTCGTGCAGGGGACACCATTTTGGAATCCCATCTTAAGCATCATGATAAAAATGCCTCCTACATCTCTAAAACTACTCAGAATGAGTTAATTAGGTGTTGTGGTCAATTCATCACTGAACAGCTTCTAGTTGAAGTAAAAAAGAGCAAGTTTTATGCATTGATTGCAGACGAAACATGTGATATTTCTAATAAAGAACAGATGTCTTTGGTTTTGCGTTTTGTTGACGAGGAGTTCAACATAAGAGAAGAATTTTTTCGTTTCATTCATTGTAGTGAGGGTATGTCTGGGAAGGACCTTGCATCTGTGATTTTGAAATGTTTAAACGAAGAGTTGGTTTTGAACATTCAGGACTGTCGTGGGCAGGGGTATGATGGTGCAGAAGCTGTTGCTGAATGCATTAATGGTCTTGCTGCAAGGATTAAGAATTTGAATGAGAAAGCCATATACACACATTGTTTCAGTCACTGATTAAATCTTAGTATTGGTGGGACTTGTGCTGTTCACTATGTAAGAAATATTTTGGAACATGTGTAGGAAGTTGCTAACTTTTTCAACTCTTCCCAAGGCAGACAACTAATTTTGGAGAAATGCATTGGAGAGCACTGTCCAGATTCTGCAAAAAAGAGAGATTGAAAAGTGCTTGCAAGACAAGATGGGTTGAGCGTATTACTAGCTTAGATACTTTTGAAAAACTGTATGTTGCTATTGTTTTTCCTTGGAAGAAATGAGTTTTAACGTCGAAGGCAAGTGTAATCGTGAGACCTCTAGTAAAGCTTCCCCCTCTGCTACATCTTTTGAAATTTTTTGATTTTATTGCAGCACTCGTAATAACTAGATGTATTTTTGATCTTGCTCTTCCAGTTACTCAGTTACTTCAGTCTTTTAGTAATGATATTGCTGACGGTTTGAACTTGATTGAGGCATTAAAAAAATTGTCGAGAACTGTAAGAAATGAAGTCGATGTTTATCATGCTAACTGGTACAGTATTGCATTGACGATGGCAGAAAAGGTGGGTGTTGAAGAGAAAAAACCTAGAACTTGTGGTCGTCAGGCAATTAGAAGTAATGTTCCGTCTGAATCTGTATCTGATTACTTTAAGAAAACAATAACCATTCCTTTAGCTGATCACTTGTGTTCTGAGTTAGAAAAACGGTTTGATTCATCAGCAACTAGCATATATTATGGCTTGTTTTAATTCCATCCAAGTTACTTTTGTGTCTTTCTTGTGGCGTTTCTTGGAAGGAAAAATTTTATTCATTTTCTTCTTTGTTCTTGGATGATCTTCCAAATCCAAAGGCTTTAGATGGTGAACTTGATCTCTGGCAGAAATACTGGGAATCGTCTTCTACAACTTGTCTTCCTGAAAATGTCTCTTCTACTTTAAAGTCGGTAAATTTTCCAGGTTTTGAGAACATAAAAGTATTGTTAAAGATCTTAGGTACTATTCCAGTCACTTCTTGTGAGTGTGAGAGGTCGTTCTCTGCTTTGCGAAGACTAAAGAACTATACAAGAAGTACTATGGCTGCTGACAGGTTAAATGGTCTTGCTTTATTGTATATTCATCAGGACATTAATCTAGATATAGAAAAATTATAGATCTTTTGCAAAAGACAAAGAAGAATTGAACTAGCTTTCTAGTTCGGAGTGAAAGTTCTTCATGCCTTTTTTAAACTCTTGACTGTAAAGATGACTGCCGCTAACCTCAGTCAATATAAACACAAACAATCGTTCTCAGGACTTTACTTACCTGGACGATCGACATCTACAAACATTTTTTTGCTTTTTTTTTATTGACAACTTCATTTGATATATTGACATAAAATCGTTTGCATAATAATCAGCATATAGGTATGACTAGACCATTATAAAATGAAATTCCATATTGATGAAGCGTAAAGAATTTTTTTAGGCTAAGTTTGTAATGAACCAGGCCGTCCATGTCGGAAGCCCTCAAAGCATATTTTTTTGCGAGTTTCCTAGGCATGCTGATGAGCTCTGATATTGAGCGAAACGGTCAAAAATCGATAATTTATGAGCAAGAATGTTAGCTCATTCCAGTAATAAATATTTTAGAAGACCAACTGCAAAAACGCAGGAAATGGCGTTTTTCGCAATCCAATTTTAAAATTTTACCGGGGGGGACATGTTCCTGCACCCCCCCCTAGAAAAGTCGCGCTAACGGTGCGACATTGTGCCTAAGTTCATATACGAAGCTGGATCCGCCCCTGGTCTAGCGTCCTAAAATTTCTGAAACTTCTAGAAGGGTATAAGGGAGGGTGTGTGAGACAACTCTCCAACCTTCACAATCTTTGGTCTAGTCGGGCAGGTTTCACGAATTTGTTGGGAAAAATTTCATAAATTCACAGTTCCATTATTTTAAAAAGTACAACTGGCAGGGTTTTGTACTCGTGTATATAAAATCTGATTACAAATCATTAAAAATTTTAAGATAAAGCACTACAAATTTTTTAACAAATGCATGACGTGTCAACATGCTATGTGGAAACTCCGTTTAGTTTTAATGAGAGAAGCTCAGCGAAAGCAGCCAATACTGTCAATTTATCGTTAATTTGCAACATTAAATTCTTTGATCGTATGTTTGTATAGTTGTATTCGCATTATTGTGCATGTTAATTTGTCCGTGTTTTTATCCGTGTATAATTTATTTTATCCAAAGTCCAATTTGTATCACGTAAACAAACCTGAGTTCAACGAAGATTCAAATTCACACGTGCTATTTTTGTGCGTATGCTGACCATTAAAACCCAGGCTTAACCTTGGTTTGACTAAACCCATATCAAGAAGTGGAATGAGTTAAAACCAGGCCAAACCTGTGTTAATAGTGTTCACACGCAAAAAAAGACATACAGGGTACATTTGAACCTGGGTTGAGCCCAGATTAGCTAATGTCGCGTGAATTAGTCTCAAGTTTGTATCAACTTTCAGCTAGTTGTTTTTACTTGTAATGATTGATGAATTCATGTATGCATTGTTAGATGTAGAAATTTAATATCAACCTTAGACGGGAGATAGATTCCGTAACACAAACATAAAGATAAGAAATCAAGAATAATATACGTTTTTCACCTGCAGTTAACAAAAAAAATTCTTGGGCTACACTACATAAAGACGCCTTCTATAAATAAACTGAAATGAGCGCAAACATTTAGGCATATAGTTTTTTAGTATTTCCAATTATATGTCACTGCAAGAATGTAAAGTTATGCTTGCAAACTGCATGATTTTTATTAAGCGTGAGTGGTGGCAGATAAAGTTTCTGATTAACAAAAACTAATAAACTTTATAACTATATATCTGTCCGATGAATTACCTTTTACACAAGTTTCAGCATTGAACGCAAGCAATATACGAAAATGAGTCGAAGAAATTAAAGACACAAGAGAAGTAAGTTTTATTAATTAGATGTGATGACACAATTTAAAAAAATTATTTTACTGGCAAATCAAACTAAAGACCAACAAAGCTAGATAGAAAGCTTTGTTTCAAGTCATGTAATAAGCCAACCAACCTTGTCTGCTCGGTCATTACCGTTAAATATTGGATTTTAGTCTTTGAGTAGATAACCTCGCCGTACGTGCTCTGTAGATAGCTAAAAAGCCCTTTGGTCGGATTTATCTCGGTGAAGACCTCGAGCTTTGTTAAAGGTTCAACGAAAAATATATTTCCCTCCCGTTAAGTTAATAAAACACAAGAATGGTTTTTAAAACATACGCGTTTTAAAACATACGAGTTTTTTATATCCTTAAATTCATTTACGTAATTATTATCTTTGTTATATTGTAACATACCGTTGTCTTTTGTCTTTATAAAGACACTTTGTGAACTTTGACAAGCATTATTTGATGCATTGCAGAAAGCAACTAAAACAAAAATCACAAAAACACGCATCGACATCTTGCATAAAAGAAAGAAACACTTTATGTTTGAAAAATGTTTTTGGAAACAATTATATAGCCACCATCATGAAGAATAAATTATATTTTGCACATGCAGCTGTGTTCAATTTACCTAAATTACATAAAAAAGCACTTTTCCGATATTTTGGGCATGTTTCAAGGCCATAAAAGCCGATTTTTGTTTAACTCCTAGAAGCTTGTAGAAACATTTTCTTGCTTAATGATAATGGACAGATTGGTGTATTGGTGAAGAATATAGTAAAAAAACATTGTTTACATTAATTATATCCTATGTGATAGACAGAACATTAAGTTAAAATTCATAAAGAAATCATTAAGTACTCGAATATGTCTTCCGTTCATACGTATCATAGTTAATAATTAATAAAAGTCCATCTGCTTTGTATTAATTTGATTCGCAGCTAAAAACCTTTGCTAGCTAAAAACCTTTGCTAGCTAAAAACGTAGCTTCTACAGACGTCCTGTTTTGTTTTGTGGTTTGAAATATAATTTCCTAAAGTTCCATAATGAGTTCTTTAATTACGATATCTAGCTATAGTGTTTGCGTTATTGCCCGAGAAATATATTTATTGTCAAGTGGATGCAAATTAAAGCTTTTGGGGTACAATTATTGACGTGTTGTTTTAATTATTTATGTCACTATACAATAATGATAAGTACTCAGTTTATAAATAACATCAGTTACTCAAACAAAGAACGGTCATGGGGACTGTGGAAAAACGGCAAGGTCACATGGGGGGAGACCTTTTAGGGAAACTAGTGTGTCTATAGGTGAGGTATTTACATGATTTTGTGATTATAATTGAGATCATACATTGTGACTGACTGAGCGTACGTACGATGTAGGATTAGCTAGAAAAGTAGATGATACTGACGGTTTTCTCTGTTTAAAGTTGTCTTAGTCTTTGATTATCTGGTATTTTGAAAATAAATTTACAAAATACTTTTTGAAGCACTGCCGCTGATTGGCTGAATACCCGAAAACCCGTGTTTCAGAAACTTACAGTCTCGTAAAAGTATCGCAGATTGCATGGTTTGTGCGGAAACTTTTAATGAGACAATTTTTCAAACAACATGTTAATAAATTTGTCTTTTTAATATTGCTTTAATAGGCTATTTTATGAATGAAATAAAAAACATATGTACTTGTTTCCATTGAGTTATAGAAATACATACTTGTGAAAGTTTTTGAGCAACACAAAATTGCTCGGAAGCACTCTTCGTCGCAATTCGTGCTCGTGGTTGCCACGCAGCTTCTTGTTTCTCTCAAACTTTCTCGCGTGAAGAAACACGGAAAATATTTTCTATTTCTTACATGATAAATGAATGCTTATTTTATACGTAGCTACACACGTATGCATTAGGTTGTCCTTCTCTGTTTAAGCTACTAATACTACTAGTAGTAGTCAAAGTCTGACAATAATGCATGATCCTAGCCTGATAATGTCGTGAATGTTAGCACATTCCAGTAAAATGAACTGAGATCAGGAACTTGTTATGTTAATTTAATAAGAGCTGCCAAAATGTGGCTGGGCTGTTGTTGTAAAAGAGTTGTGATGTGAATGATGTGATTTGAGAGAGATCGACAATAAAAGCACTTACTCAAGTTCAACTTGGACTTCCTCGAACTAACTTTGGGAACCGAACGAAATTCACGACAATAGAGATTAAATATCAACGTCATGATAGAATAATAATGGCTTCGTATTTTTCTTATTTTTTTACGAAGCATTTGGACTACGTAGCCATTAATTAAAAATTATGACAAACAAGAACATTATATTGAAGCAATTGTATAACGTGTAGCTCCTTACTCATTTGACACACAGTCAACCAATCACAGTCAATTAATGTCTCAAAGTATTGTATTAAATAAATAGGTGACTGATTTGTTCGTATGTGAATTTTAAATTATGGTTGCTCAAAAATCTATTGTTTTCATTCATTAGTTAAACTACTGAAAAGTCATGCCCAAAACATATACAAAGTTTATTAAACTGCAAATGCTTATGTGCTCAACAGATATTTTATGATCAAGTGTTGCTAACATTATTGTTATTTTGTTGTTGATGTGTTAGGCACGTGATTGAAAAGAGTCAATCACCAGTTTTTATCTGCCATAATGACGTACAACCAGGTAAAGATTTCCAACTAGGTTATTGTGAATATACAGACTCTTAATAAAGGTAAATATGATTTAAATACCTACAGGAAACTTGTTGATGAAGGCAAAGGAAGATCTCGATGAGGCGAAAATTCGTGTGACTGATTTCGAATATTCTTGTTATAACTACAGGTGAAAAAAAGATAGAAGGATAATTTTCGTTTATGCCGCAAATGAGGAAGGAAGAAAGGAATATCATTTCATCTTCGCGCTGCGTAGAGTTGTCAAATATTATGATAGCAAGATTTTCGTTTGTTTACTTAAAGCAGTCAACAATTGAGCAAAGGGGAAGAGCTGTCAAAAACCAGCCAATTTGTACCCATAATGCTTTGCAACCCGCTGCTTATCATTCTCTTAGAACATTTTGAATACTTGTTTCATCAAAACTTTTCAACTTTTCTTATGTTTAAAGTTTCTAAATTTGTTTCCTGTACACACAATACAATGACGTAAGAACCAGACAACAAATACGGCTAACCTGACGTTTACTCCTCATTTGACTCTGAAGATGACTACCGCTAAGGTTGTCGAAACGTCAGTCAACAACATCAAAAACAGTCCTTCTCAGGACTTTATTAACCTGGACGATCATCATTTACAAACATATTTGTTTACCTTGTCAAACTTTTTTATAATATTTGTTATTTTTTGATTCAGAGGATACGATATTGGTAATCATTTCAGTGAATGGATATTTGATTATGATCATCCACATTATCCCTTTTTTACTGGAGAAGTCACAAAATATCCTTCTTATGATCAAGAGGTAATTCACTAATAGAAGTAATAGTTTAAGAAACGGTAAAAACAATTTGATCGTTAAAAATAACACCCAAACTATACTTCATATGAAAAGGATGATCTGCTGTTTATAATGTAGTTATCTATTATCGCCGTATGGGTTTTTTCCTTTTTTTTCCGTATAGCTTTTTCCCTCAGTGTTTTGCCGTTATGCTTTTTCTCTCGGTGTTTTACCGTATTGCTTTTTCCCTCGGTGTTTTGCCGTATAGCTTTTTCCCTCGGTGTTTTGATGCTTTCCCTCGGTGTTTTGCCGATTGCTTTTCCCTCGGTTTTTACCGATATGTTTTTCGGTGTTTTGAGGTTTTCCTCGGTGTTTTGGATACATATTTTCCGTCGAGTTCTTTGGATATTGTTTTCCAGTGTTTTACCGTATTGCTTTTTCCCTCGGTGTTTTACCGAGCTTTTTCCCTCGGTGTTTTACCATTGCTTTTCCCTCGGTGTTTTGCCACATATTTTCCCTCGGTGCTTTGCCGTATTTATGTTTTCCCTCGGTGTTTTACATTGTTTTCCCTCGGTGTTTTACCGTATTGCTTTTTCCCTCGGTGTTTTACCGTATTGCTTTTTCCCTCGGTGTTTTGCCGAATATATGTTTTCCTTCGGTGTTTTACCGTATTGCTTTTTCCTCGGTGTTTTGCCGTATATGTTTTCCTTCGGTGTTTTACCGTATTGCTTTTTCCCTCGGTGTTTTGCCGTATATATGTTTTTCCTTCAGTGTTTTACCGTATTGCTTTTTCCCTCGGTGTTTTGCCGTATATATGTTTTTCCTTCGGTGTTTTACCGTATTGCTTTTTCCCTCGGTGTTTTGACGCCGTAAGTATTACGTATTCCAGGGCAAAAATCACGCAAATATTTGTGTTTTTAACAATCTTATAAAAATTTGCACAAAAGCTGTTTTGTTATCGGCCTCAAAATCGTCCCAAAGGTTAGCTGTTTTTATATCACCTAAACTCTTCGATATTTCAGGTAATTTTCTTCCGTACGTATTTACAAGCTTATAATGAAACGAATGAAATCACGTTAGACGAGATTGAAAAAGTTATTGACGAAGCTGACAGGTAAATTTTATAACAATCGTCCTCTTATATTAATATAGTGCAAGATAAATTTTTAAAATTCAGTTTTAGGTTTCTATGACGTAGTTCTCGTTTATTCAGGGTTGAGTTAAGTCAGTTTAGGGTTTACTGACATCATTTAGGTCAGTTTTTGGTATACATAGGGCTTGTCAAGTTATAACTGATGCAATTAATACATAACTTTTGAAGGCAATTCTCTTTTATCACATCGACTATTCGTGTACTTACTTAGCCATTGTACGCAAGTGTTTATATATTGGTATTGGTTTTGTCTTTCTGCGAATAAATGTTTTAATTTTACTTATGTTTTAAAAATATTCCTGAAACATCATTCAGCTTTATTTTCCTTTTCGTCTATAGATCGTCTCTTCTTTCTCATTTCTTTTTTGGGCGATGTTTTCAATTCTTCAAAGTTATAAATCCTCGATCAATTTTGGTTATCTCGTAAGTAGATGAACAGTTAAATGGTGTTGCTTACCGTTAGATTTACATCACGTGACTGAAATTGGATTTTTCCTTGTTGTATTGTCGTACCGTGGTATTGTATCCTAAACACCATTTGCTATTCTTAAAATACCATATCTTATAAGTAACATTCTACATCGAACAATGTTAGAAATGTGCACCACCACTTTTTGCATAAAGTTTGCGTTCTTTCATCGCAAACATTCGTGTAAATGCATGGTCTTTTGCACTAAGTTCTTTCCATGTATATTTGTTTAGAACAGATGTTAGTCAGCAATAATGTCTGATGCGTATGTATCAAACTTGTTCATATTGAGCACTATTATTGTGAACCAACGCAAAAACCAACGTAACACTTTGCAAAGATTTCTTATAAGTTTACAAGAAGGATTTTGTGTTTAAATTTTATAGAATCAAATAACTATAAAGTAAATCCCATCCTCAGTAGTAACCATGCAAAGGATCTTGAGTGTGTTTTATTAATCTGTCATATAAGGTATTAAGAAGCGTCAGAAAATATCTGGAGAAATACTTACGTGCAAACCTCCACCTATACAGGAAATGTTACGCAAATACTACATTTACTGCATGATGACAAATTTCAGTACCTTTCATAAAACCAAATTGTTTATGACGATTTTTAAAATTATTTGTTGGGCTCTAATATTTATACTGAGAATCCGCTTCCCGCCTGGCACTTCATTGGCAACAATACCTTTAACAAAAAATATATGTATGCTAATACTTCAAACTAGAAATAGGTTATGGTAACAGATTTGGATACGACATTTTAGTGCGCACAATTCTGAGAGTGCTGCAATAGCCTGCCCTTCCAAGTAAAAAGTAGGTATAAATACTCACTCACTTTAACTTTTTCAAATGTAGTTCCTGTCTCATCAGCTGACTTTTGTATTGTTTCATGTTTCTCCTTTGCCGTTGTATTCATTCCCAGATCGTAATTAGACTTCAAAATAGCTTTTTGCAAGTCAGTTAATACTTCATACTGTATTCCAGTTGCCGTCATGTTGATATGGTACACGTGTGTCATGTGCATGTCGTGTGTTGATGATATATAGATTGATGCATATATAAATCAAATATGGCGTAAATGAAAACGCTTAGAGGATCTCCTACATCACATACATGCGACATTCTCAATTTGAGAAGTCTTGCTTCAGACGATTGAGAACATGCGACACGGGTATTGATTTGAATTTTTTTCAAAACCGGCTTTTAATGACAAACTTTTTTTTGTAAATAGACGTCTTCCCTACAGATATGTAGAATTATTTGCTGGTAGTTGACCAATAAAAAGTGACATTGCTTACATAGTGAATAATGATGTAACATAATTGCATGAAATACACGATACACCAAGTTTGCGTGGAACGTAACGAAATGATAGAATTAGTTACATACAGAGCAACATCTCGTTAAAGAAATGAGTGAAAAGACGTAACATTAGAATCATATAATTAACTAAATCAGCTCTAATTTCTAGGGAAAATAATATTTTACCACAGCATTTTTAACAATTTTTCAACGCTTTTTTAAATGATAATGATTATAAAGGTTCTTTTAAAAGACATAAAAGCTAAAATGTTTTTATTATATGTTGAAAGTTCCATTAGAAATAATGATCAAAGCTATAACATCACAGTCTTTTGAAATTCTTTATGGTTTCATTGTCATCTCAGTGAACTTTAAGGATTTATAGCGTTTCCATTGATACCAAGTCACACCTTTGGCATTCAGGTTGGAACTATGACAATTATTATACCACCAAGCCCCTTTGTGGCCAATGGCGCAGTTTCCTCTACTTTTATCATTATCTGAATCTTTGGTTGTAAACGCCATGCCATTGTGATAAGATAATGCATCTCCAGCATTTCCTAAGAAAAGTAATTTTCCTCAGAAAAATTTTACGTCATTTAACTTATTGCTTATAATACCCAACACGTGTTTTATGTGGTTAATAGAAGATTTCAAGAGATTTTTCAATGGTCATTTGTTTAGAAGGGTTTCATGAGATTTGTCAATTACTTTTTTTGATTTAGTTTATAGAGTAAAGAAAGAAGTGGTATAAATACCAAAACATATTACAATACTGAGTTTTCATTAGATATATTCAGTAGCATTCTCATTATATAGTTATATACAAAGCTAAAATCGAATTTCATTGGTTAATTTTAGCGGAAGCACCAACCACACTCATGCATAATGTATAACGCTAACTTTAAGCTAAAATTTGTTACCGTTTATAATATAGTTGTTGTTGTTAATATATTAAACCATTTATCCTTCTCAAAATCAAATAAATAAATCGCAAAAATAAAGTTGTCTACTCGTTAGCTAGCTACATGTCATGAAGAGATTTTGAACTTTCTTTCACCCCACCTTCATTCCCATGAACTTTTTTTTCTGCATCCAGTGTATTCACATTAGTCATTAATGTTAACCGGCCTAATTTTTATTGTATGATAGATTTTCAAAATTTGTGTATTTACTTGATGGTGTACCTGGATATTTTCCAAGGCTCAAATGATATTTATGTGTTTCATTCTTATAAATGAAAATTCTCCATGTAAACTTGAATGAATTTCAGTAACGTTTTAGGTGGTTGTTATAAGTTCGTAAAAAACCTTTAGTTTTAGAACAAGTTATCATAGATAAATCATTTACAATTAGGTACAACTGGCTAACATGAATGCTTGCGTTTTATAAAAAAAGAATTCAGTCAATGATTACTGGACAATGGTTTTCACAGTATTAATTCTCTCTTAAGTACCAAATGATTTAGTCATGTTTTATAAGCTATACATGTTGTATAGGCGCAGTTTATCAGTACCTATTAAAAAAGCAAGAATTTAATTTCACAGACATTTCATGATCTCTTCTTGCATGTCAAGAATTGTTGTCGCGTGGTGCAACTGAATGATTTACACGAGAGAATGATTTTTTACTTAATGGTTGTTCCTTGTATTTTAATGTAAGTTTGTCGATTCAAAAATTCGTGTGATTGATTTCGAATATTGTTGTTATAACTACAGGTTAAAAAAAAGAGAAGGATAGTTTTCGTTTGAACTGCAAATGAGGAAGGAAGAAAGGAGACATTTTGTTCTATATGTGGAATATTATTTCATCTTTGCGCTGCGTAGAGTTGTCAATTATTATGAAAGCAAAGGTTTTATTTGTTCACTTAAAGCAGTCATCAATTGAGAAAGGGGAAGAGCTGGCCACAAAATAACCATAATGTACCCATAATGCTTTTCAACCGGCTGCTTATCTTTCTTTTGAAACATTTTAAATTATTTATTTCATCAAAACTTTTCAACTTTTCTTATTTTAAACTTTGTTTACCTTGTCCAACTTTTTTATAATATTTCTTATTTTTTTATTCAGAGGATACGATATTGGTAATCATTTCAGTGAATGGATATTTGATTATAATCATCTACATTATCCCTTTTTTACCGGAGACGTCACCAAATATCCCTCCTATGATCGAAAGGTAATTCACTAAAATATGTAATAATTTAAGAAAAGATAAAAACAATTTTATGGTGAAAAAAAACTCCCGAACTATAGTTCATATGAAAAGGATGATTTGCTGTTTATAATGGGGCTATCTGTTATGGCTTCATTTGAATTACAACATTTATAGCTACCATGTGTTAATGATGTGATGATTGTGCTTTTCCTTGCGGTATAACTATTTATTCTCAGTACTTTATTTCTGTTTTTCTCGTGTTTTTTTTTTGCTTTTGATTGCTTTGCTTATTTTGCTTTCTCCTCTGAATCAAAAAATTCAGAGGAAAAATTCAGAGCGCGGGGCCCGTGGTCAAAGTCAGCGGAAAGACGCGGGCTCATGAAATAAAAATTTTGTGAAAAATTCTTATTCTAAACTCTTCAAAATTTCAGGTATTTTTTGTCCGTGCGTATTTACAAGCTTACAATGAAACGACTGATGTCACGTTAGACGAGATTGAAAAAGTTATCGACGAAGCTGATAGGTAAATTTTATAACAATCGTCCTCTTGTATTAATATAGCACAAGATAAATTTTGGAAATTCTTAGATTTCTATGAGTACGTATGTCTTGACAGATTTATTTTTACTGTCGTAGTTCTCGTTTATTTAAGGTTTAGTTTTTGGAATACGTCAGTTTAGGGTTTAATGACGCCATTTAATTTAGGTCGGTTTTATGTATACCTTTATAGTCTTTTATTACACAGCCTATTCAAGTAACTTTTTACATATTGTACGCAAGTGCTTACATATTGGCGTCGGTTTTGTTTTTCTGCGAATAAATGTTTTAATTTTACGTATGTTTTAAAAAAATTTCTGAAATAACATCAGCTTTGTTTTCCTTTTTTCTATAGATTGTCTCTTCTTTCTCATTTCTTTTGGGCGATGTTTTCAATTCTTCAGAGTTATAAATCCTCGATCAATTTTGGTTATCTCGTAAGTAGATGAACAGTTAAACAGTGTTGTTTATCGTTAGATTTACATCACGTGAATGAATTTGGCTTTTTCCTTGTTGTATTGTCGTACCGTGGTACTGTATCCTAAACACCATTTGCTATTTTTAAAATACCATATCTTATAAGGAACATTCTACATCGAACAATGTTTGAAATGCGAACTACCACTTCATCATCTTTTTACAAATAGTTTGTGTTATTTCTTCACAAACATTTGTGTAAATGCATGGTCTTTTGCACTAAGTTCTCTCGATGTGGATTTATTCTGAACAGATGTTACCATTCAATATCTCTCATACGATATGCACGTATGAGAGATATTGAATTTTTCGTTATGCACGGATTTCTTTTAATAATCAAATATATATAAAACAATTCCCAGCTGTATTATTAATAGAAAGATCTCGCATTCAAAGTATTAGTCTCACATACAACGTATTAGTCTCACATACAACGTATTAGTCTCACATACAACGTATTAATCTCACATACAACGTATTAGTCTCACATACAACATATTAATCTCACATACAACGTATTAGTCTCACATACAACATATTAATCTCACATACAACGTATTAGTCTCACATACAACGTATTAGTCTCACATACAACTTATTAGTCTAACATATAACGTATTAGTCTCACATACAACGTATTAGTCTCACATACAACGCATTAGTCTCACATACAACGTATTAATCTCACATACAACGTATTAGTCTCACATACAACGTATTTAAAAACGTCAGAAAATATCTAGAGAAATGCGAACCTCTACGTAAATAGGAAATGTTACGCAAATATTACATTAACTGCAAGATGGTAGTTTAAACAGTTCTTAAAAAGAACTGTGAGTTACAAGCCTTTTATCACCATTGCCCAGTATTATTTGAAATAAAACATGTTTTGCGAAATTATCTATTCTAAATTATCTTTAATTGATTTAATTGAATAAGCTGAGATCAACTTTCCACATTTGCAAAGGCTATTGAAAACTGACCTTTAGTCCAAGCAGCGTATTGCGTTATATCTTTTTGTTGCTTTATAAAGGATAGACAAAAAATATTCCTTTTTTTGTTTATTAAAATATGCTCATAGGAAATTTCATTAAAACCTAAACAGACAAACAAAGTTATTTGCAAGCAGTTTAACTGGTGCATTATTGTACGTTGAATGGGGCCTCTAACATGTACACAAACTTGTTTACATTTTTGCAGTAAATTTTGTCTCAATTAATCCTTAGTAAATATTATTTTAATAAGATTGCCTTTTCAGTATAATGGTATGATGTTATGGACCTCTTTAAGGCTAAAATTGATGTGTAGTTAATATGTCTTCATCTACTTGATTATTTCTGTTTTTTTTTAAGGAATACGCCCTTTTTCGAATGGAATGCTTAAATCATTTCAGGCATTTTTCCGAGGAGAAACCTGGAGACAAGTTGCCTCATGATAATGGTAAAATCCATTGTGATGTTTAGGGTGAAGTTCATTTTTTGGTGATTAGAAAGAACATCATTCAGATGTAGCATGTATGTAAATTATCTCCACCAACACAATTGCTTGTTTGCGTCTTCATTCAAAGTCTTCTTGAATAACGGGGTTTCTTTTGAATTTCTAATTACTAACAGTAATGGGCTTTAATGTAAGGTGTGTATGACTGCGTTCACTTGTTTGTGAATTTCTACTCAAATTTTCAAATGAATATTCTAGTGGTTTAACTCTATCTAAACAAGAAGCAGTTAGACACACTGTGTTGTCTATAGGTTATGTGCAACCATTTTCTTTGGCGGGAACAAGATTGCTTCATGAGAAACCAGATAATATATCAGATAGTCGCATGACATGCATGATAAATCCAAGATGGCGTGAGAACCAGCAAAAAACAACAAAATTTTTTGCAATTAACTTTCACCACAAACGTCAAAGAAATGAAAGAAAAGACGTCACTGCCAAACTATATCATTAAATCTGCCATCATTTAGGGAAAAATATAAATTTCTTATTTTACCACAGCATTTTTCAACAATTTTTTCCACTCTCTTTTAAATGAATGATGATTGTAAAGGTTCTATTAAAAGAGTTATTATCAAATATCAATATTATGCGAAGTTTCATAAGATATATTCATCAAAGTTAAGAAACCCAATATTTAAAAATTCTTTATTGTTTTCATTTTCATCTCAGTAAACTTTAAGGATTTAGTGTTTTTCCAATGATACCAAACCACACCACTCCAACTGCTGTATGCTCTTTTATAGTAGTGTCCATTTAGGTTGGAATAAGCACATCTCTTATACCACCAAGCACCCCTGCGGGCAATGGCGCAGTTTCCGTTATATGTATCATTATCTGAATCTTTGGTTGAAAACGCCATGTCTTTGTGATAAGATAATGAATCTCCAGCATTTCCTAAGAAAAGTAATTTTCGTCAGAAAAATTTTACGTCGTTTAGCCAATGTTATCTTAAAATTCTCCTTAAGAATTGCTGAAAATACCCAACACGTGTTTTATGTCGTTAGTAGAAGATTTCAAGAGATTTTTTAATGGTCATTTGTTTAGGAGGCTTTTATGAGAATGTCAATTGGTTTTTTCATTTAATTTATAGAGTAAAAATAGAAGTGGTATGAATACCCAAGCATATTACAATCCTGAGTTTTCATTAGATATATTCAGTCCCATGCTCATTATTAAGTTTTATACAAAGCTAAAATCGAACTTTACTGTTAATGGTGGCGGAAGGTCCAATCACAATCATGCATAATGTACTCGCTAGCATGAAAGTTGTTGCTAATTTATTAAACCATTTATCCTTCTCGAAATTAAATAAACTGCAAAAGTGAAAGTTGTCTACGACTTAGCTACATGTCATGAAGGCTTTTTAACAGGGGCGGATCTAGAGTATGTCAAATCCGTCGCGCGACTGATGTTTGAAATTCAAAAATTACCTATTCATATTAATTAAAAGTTCATTAATTATTCTTACTTTATTATCGCATTTACTTCGTGATAAAAATTCAGCTTTATTTATTATTGAAAACTATTGACTAATCCAATGAATATCTCGTTGGTAACCAGATCAGTTGAATTTTAATTGACCTGGAATAACCGACTGATAAGCGGGGTGGCTAGACTGGTTTGACGGATAAAGGAGTCTATGAACGCCAAAAAACGTTTATTTTATTGGTCAATGGCGAGATCAGTGGACAGTCTGGAATGGTCTCGACTGATAATAGGGATGGCCGGACGTATAAGGGACTCCAATTGGTTCATTTGAATTTTTGTTTTATTGTGATTGGTTTGACGGATTTCGACTGATAGCCAACTGAACTAACATAGTCAAGCTCACTGTCTGAATTGAATGTTTAATCGTTTCATAGTAATTTTTATAAGCTTGATAGAAACTAAACTACAATCAGATGTAATTTATCGAAATCTTTTACAAATTCATATATTGACATAAATGCTGCTGTCCAAACCGTGAATTTTTTCAAAAGGGTGAAAAATTTATGGATAAATTGTAAACGCTTGGCAAAGACGATCTCGCGAGCGACATTTTAGTCATTGATGTTCAAAAGAAAGCCAACATTGTTTTGAGTTTTATCAGCAGAAATTTACATCCAAAATCGTAAGTAAAGGACAAGTGAAGTGTATGCATGAATGTAATATATCAAAGTCAATTTATGCGAGTGTGTGATGCGATTTATGTCAATATGGCGTATGGTAAGCAGATTGATGCTTCTAAAATTGTTGTTGACGAAGGACTTTTAGCTATGATTTTTTTAGTGCTTGGGGAATCGTGGCCGTTATATGACAGCGAAATCCTACATTCCTGCAAATATATTTCAATGGACAAAAAAATCTGTAGCCATAAGTCGCCATACTATTATTTACTTTATCATAAACAAATAATTGGGCTTTTCAGTTTATGATCATTGATCATTCAATCATTGGACAGTTATACTACATATTGTTTAAGATATGAGAAAACTAACATTGATTACATGAGAAGCTGTGTACTATAACCTGTGTTTTATGACTGATGTTTAAAAAATCCTAGATCCGCCCCTGCTTTTTAACTTTCTTTCACCCCACCTTCATTGCCCTGAAGTTTTTCTGCATTCAGTCTATTCACATTGATCTCAATTGGTACCTGGACTGATTCTTATTGTTTTATACATTTTCAAAATTTGTTTACTTAGGCCGGTTTCATACGTCGCATTTGACATGAGCTGAATTCAACGAGGAATTTTATCTCATTTTCTTTTGTTTTTATTGCTTTTGGTGCCAGAGCCCTCTATTTGTAAGAGCTAGGACAACGGGTCTGGGGCGAGCGCGGAGCCGCCATTTTCGTGACTACTTGCAAATTAAACTTATAATAAAACTGTGTGAAATTGGCTAAATGAGCAAAAGAATAAAGCAATTCCGCATGGTTCAATGAAATTTTAAATATATTGGAAACCACAATCAAGATTTTCGCGTTTTTGTGAATAATTACTGCAAACCAAATTCAATTTCACAGATTTGAGCTACATTCCCCGTTGACTAGTTCGTGCTTTGAAACTATCGTGACCCACTGCTAGACGTTTTTACGTATGTGAACGTATATTCTTGCAGTTTTCACCAACAGCACCAAGATATTTGTTTTCATTGCTTATAATTTACCAGCGATAAAGAAAATACTCGACATTTTGGTTGCATATGCTTGGCCAGGAAAACACGTTACTACACTTATCTCCAGATTTGAATCAATGCTTTGGCAGGTATAAGGTATGTAAAAATAAATCACTGCAGCTCATTTTTGGTTATATATACTTTTGGAAACCGTGCAGGCGACTTAACTGGTAAAAACATATTCTTTAGAAAGTCATTACAAATAATCTTATTCTAAAACAAAAAGTATTTTGAATTTACAATTGAGCTGCTACAATTTATTTTGACTTAAACTGTGCCTACCATTGAATCATTTTTATCCATAGTTGGATAAAGTTTAGTTTTGAAGCACTGTAGTCATGAAATTTTGTTTAGGTAGTACATATTTTGCAATGTAGTCCAGGCATGAAAATTTAATGCAGACAGATAACAAAGGTTTTTGGCTGGAAAATTATGAATTTAAAATATTTGTTAGATGCAGTGGCTCTTATATTCTATTAATCTAATGTGAAGTTGTTGATTTCTTTATTGCTTGTGAAACCGTGAGTATAGTTAAAGTTTAACTTGAATGCAGAAAGGTATAGGCTTCTATTTGGTGAAGCATTTGTTGAAAATGAAATTATGTTTGGGTATTATAAAACAATTTTGCTGTTGAAGAACAGTCTTGTTTGCTACAAATGTTACTGTTTGTACAGACTTTGATATTGCATATGAGTCTGATCCAACTTTTAATCTAGCTTTAAAATTTAATAACTTGAGTAATGACAAAACTTCTGCATGTTTTTCCAAATTATAAAGACCAAAGACCACTCCAAATCATTGATTACTTAAAGACCAGAACAAATCATTGATATACAAATTAAACATGCTCTGGTTTAAAGTACAGTCAGAATGTGTATTTCATTACCAGTAATATAATTTTACTCAGCTGTTTCAGTAAAATTTTATTCATGATTACTGATACTATACTTTCAAAGGATGTCCTAAACATGCAAAATACAATATTCGAAAGTATATTATTTTAGCATATTGGATTAGCAATTATTATCTCTTGAAGTGGTTAAGAACTTGTAAATTAGAGTCATTTCCGAACATAATGATAAGTCATAATCTCTCTATAAAGAACAGGCTTTGTATGGTTGAAAACTATTGAATCGTTAGCATTAGGACAAATATTTCCAATGATTTTTTACTCGAAAACAATCTTCGTAAATAAACCTTTAGATAAAGATCAGTTAGACACAATGGTCACTACGCACAATCCAGTCTATCGTAAAGCCATTTCTTTCTTTTTTCCCGATCCTTGATTCTGGCGATATGCAGTTACATGTTTTAGCTATCAAATAATCAAGTATTTTAGCCATACCTCCAAAAAATCAAAATATTTTCTCAAAATATAAACAAACTTGTAGTAATCGCCATATAAACACTAGTTGAAATTTCAAAATTAGGAGCGAAAATGGCGGAAATTAATCATGTGATCGATATTGTCCAGTCAACGTTCGCAGACCAGAGAACAATACATGTCCCAACACTTACAAATAGAGGGCTCTGTTCGGTGTATGTAAAGTTTGACGTATAAAACAAACCTTACTTAATGGCGTACCTCGGTATTTTCCGAGGCTTAATTGTTATATTTGTGTTTCATGCTTATAAATGTGAATTCTCCATTTAAACTTAAATAAATTTCTGTTATGTTTTAGGTTGTTGTTATAAGTTCATAAAAAACTTTTATATGTAAGAACAAGTTATAATGTTTATATCATTTAGGCATTGAAACTTGCATTTACAATTATTTACTAGGGGCTTACTTGAATGCTTGCATTTTATAAAAAAGATTTCAATAAATGATCATTAGACAATGGTATTGACAGTATAGATTCTTTCTTATGTACCAAATAATTTAGTCGTGTTTATTAGCTACATGTTGTTCAGGTGCTGGGTTATCATTACCTAATTTTTCAAAGCTGGAATTGAATTTGCATTTA